AAAAACAACCAAGCCAAATTGCGTGCAGATAGTTATATTCATTTAAAAGATGCGATTGGACGACGAGACATAGAAGCTAATCAGTTAGGCCAAATGGTTATACTCCCGTCAACTTTTACTGGTGGGCCAAGGTACATGCACGAAAGAACACAAGATGGTAACCTACGTTAGACATTACGGTCGTCCTGACCTTTTTATTACTTTTACATGTAATCCTCGCTGGGACGAGATAAAAGAGCTCTTACTTCCCGGTCAAAGATCATATGATCGACATGATATAATTGCAAGAGTGTTTCGGTTAAAAGTCAAAAAGACCATGAACTTATTGACAAAAGATAAAATATTCGGAGAAGTGAGATGCTATATGTATTCAACAGAATACCAAACTGTAGAGAGGTTCAGGTAGTTGTAAGCTATAACTTTTTGAATAGGTTATGATAATAATCATTATCTTAAAAACTAAATTAATATGTATAAAATATTATTTCAAAAATCTTAATTAATTTAAATTTCAATAGATTTAACAAAATTTAATCTTGGCAGGTTACATACATTTATATACTTAAACCCGGCAACGACGGGTAATTCGGCTAGTATATATATATAATGCCATCTTTAACTGTTAAAGGTAAATTATTTATTCTCATAATGTAATTTGCGTATTATGCCAATATGTCTAATCAAGCCTACCTGACTCAATTATAAAGAATTGATTTATAAATTACAATATATATATTTTTGATTTTTATATGTACAAAAACTATTTTGTTTCAGCTAGTACCTATTTACATTTATTTTTATTATTTTATTACAAATATACAAATTTTAACTATAATTATGTTATAAATTATTATACTCTTCTTGTAGTATAATTTTTATACATATAAAAATGAATGTTTGGTACGGACATAGATTAGACCTTGAAGAAAGGCATAAATCATTTGTAATGAAAGAAGGAAATCATCAGTACATATAATAAGGCCCGAACGAACAGTTGCTGTTTTTTTGTTGTTATATCGATCGAAAAAACGGAAAGTAAGCTCACTGTCACACACCTCAGTGTCCACCTAGGAAATGGTGAACGTATCAATTTTACTGAAAATAATTTTCAAGAGCGACTATCTTCTCTAAAAAAAATACTCAATTCTCAAATCTGAAAAATTCTGTACAAACATAGATTGAATATGCTTATATGTTAAATATATATACATATTTAATCTATGGTAAAAGAGATTAATTTGCAAGAACTTTTCTGTATGTTGCGGTGCCAATATATTACACTTGGAGTAAGTACAATAGAAAGATAATGGAAATGGCGAAATCGAGAAAACAGAATTTAGTTGATAATTTGTTGTTTGAATCTCTCAACAGTTTTCCAAATGTTTGACGAGAAATTAAAATAAAAACCAGTAATACTTGAGGAATACACCAGTTTTCGACGAAATCGAATTTTATTTTCTTCATAACTCAAAAAATAATGGTTAAGTTTTAATGGTTACAAGGGCGCCCATATGGGGGGCAAGGGAGGGACATGTCCCCCCCCTGGAAAATGTCAAAAATCTTGAAAAATTGTGAACTATGATCAGAATATATTTATTTAAATATAATTTAAAAATTTAATTTAATATAGTATGAATGTTTGTAATCTGTTGATGAAAAATCGGTTTATTTAGTTTGGCAAATCAGGTTATCAGCTATAAATAACAACAGGCTTTTTCCTTTCTATTCTATGGATAGTTATCAATTCTTAAAATATTGTGTATTGCCACAAATACGGTATATATATATATATATATATGTGTGTGTGTGTGTGTACACAACCGTCAATCATGATATTTTATTTATAATCACAGATTTATATAAAATTATATATATATATATATTTAATAAAGAAGTACGGAAACGGAATGGGTATTTTTATACATGCACATTGCCAATGTGTGACATTATTTAGTGTTATCGTAGAATAATATAATGTTAAATTATCTTATGATAAAAATAATAAATAATAATCATTAGATATTATTTATAAATAAATGTGTTACTTATAACTTTATAAGTATTTTAATTTATAATATTAATTTAAAAAACTAGAGAGTAGAGATTAGAAGTGAAAACTATTCAGTGTTGTCAGTGTTGACTCGTTACTCATCAATTCGTGTTGTATCTATCGATTTTACTATTACTATCGTAGTGTCAAGTGTTATATTTAATAATAAAATAATGAGTAATATTAATAAATTAAAAAAATATGTATTTACTCCAAAACGTCAAGACTCAGAGCCAGAAACAAGTTCGTCACCCATGCACGAAAGTAAGTTTACAAAAGGAATCTATATTATAATAATATGTAAAATGTAGAGATATACTAGATGTTAGATAGATCTAGACAGATTATACATTTTAATAGTAATTAATTACATAGATTTCATTATCAGTTATTTATTATTTATTAATCAATACTAAATAATTGGAAAGTATAATTAAATGCCAAATAGTACCTATATGATATTTGGTTTAATTAATTTACTTATAACTGTTCCGTTTTTAGATGATGAAAAAAACTGTAAAAAATCAAAAATTATTGACTATTTTAAAACCAAAACTACAAAAATTGACACCAAAATTGTAGAGGAAAATATTAATAATCCAGCCATTTCTGTAGTCAATGTGTCAACACCATGTAAATAATACAAATATTTTATTCATAAAAAGAAGTTATTTAATTTATTTATTGTATATTGTATTATTTAAAATATGTTTTATTAATATTTTATTACTTATTAGTTTTTTAAATTTTTTTTTAACCATGCAAATAAATATACAAATACAAAGAATTGAATAATTATAAATTTTAATTTATGTATATAAATAAAAATATCTAAGCTATATTCTATATTATATAAATTATTATATTTATATAGGTAATACACAAGTTACATCTACTAATAGTAGTAATAGTAGTATTTGTGCCAGCATCATAACCAGCGATTCAGACATATCTGATTGAATATTTATTAAACATTTTATTTTATTTTTTCAATGTTTCTATATAATTATGTTAGTTTAATTACTTTTTAGGTGTAAGAAATGATACTGAAAGTATATATGATTCGTCAGATGTTGGAGATTTTATTGATATTCATCCAATTCCAGAAGACAAAAAGTACAGTTTACTAATTAATCCATATAAACCAACAATAAATTATAATTTTAAAAATGACATGGCATCAAATTCTAAACGTGCATTTAATTTGAAGTACTTAGAAATGTATGACTGGATGATTTATTCACCTAAACATAAAGGGGTTTTTTGTAAATTTTGTATTTTATTCAAACCTAATGTGCACAGAGGTAAACAAGGTTCATTTATTATTACACCATTTACAAAATTTTATCAGATTATTGAAGAGTCAAAAAAACATGAAAAAACACAGTGGCATAATGATTCAAAAGTTACAGCAAAATTGTTTTTAGACAGTATGAATTCAAAAAAAATAAATGTCATGGAGCAAATTAATTCTTCAGTACATAAAGAAATTGAAGATAATAGAAATAAATTGAGACCAATCATTAAATCAATATTGTTTTGTGGACAACATGATATTGCCCTTAGAGGAAACACAGCTGATAAAGGTTATTGAAATTTCGGATCGATTCAGGTGATAATATTTTATCGAACCATTTTGACACGGCCTCTGGGAAATCCAAATATGTGTCACATAGAATTCAAAATGAAATTATTCAAATTTTTGGTCAAGTAATTCGTAATGATATTGTATCCCAAGTCAATAATTCAGTTGCATTTTCTTTACTGGCTGATGAAACAGCAGATATTGCAGGGAAGGAACAGTTATCTATTGGTGTAAGATATATTGATATTAATTATGTTGTGCATGAGGAATTTATTGGATTTAGTGAAATACATGTTTTAAATGCAGAAGGTGTATCAAGAAGTATATTAGAATCAACAGAAAAATATGGTTTAAATATGTTAAAACTTGTTGGCCTAGGGTTTGATGGTTGTTCAACCATGAGTGGTAAAGAAAATGGTGTACAGGCAATTATACGAAAAATTTATCCAACTGCTTGTTATTTTCATTGTGCTTCACATAAGCTTAATTTAGTAGTTAACGATCAAAATTCAATTCCTGAAATCAGAAATACTATTGGTACTGTAAAGGAAATAATCAAGTTTTTTAGAGAAAGTATTTTGAGAAGAAAGCTTATTCCAAATATTCCATTATTTTGCGAGACACGTTGGTCTGAAAAGTACAAGTGTATACGGCTATTTAATAAAAATTTCATTGAAATTAAAACTGTTCTTGAAAAATTATCTATTAGTTCAGAAGCAAATGCTGTTACAAGAAATCGTGCATTTCAACTTTCTTCAGCCACATCAAATTGTACTTTTTTGATTAGTTTAAAAGTAATTGCTTATTATTCCTCTGTTCTAGAACCAGTTGTGACCAAATTACAAGGCACAAGTGTTAATCTTCATTCTGTTCATACATTTGTTAAAACTGAACTTCTTGGCATATTAAATAAACATAGAGAACATAGCATAGAGTATTTTAATACAATTTTTGAGGAAATCACTAAAGCAGCGAATAGCTTAGATTTTGTACTTAAAATACCTCGAAGAACAAATCATCAGAGTCAACGATCAAATCATAACTATTCATCAAATGATTCTATTGAAGATTATTACAGAGTATCCATGTATATACCATATTTAGACTCTATTATTACCTCGTTAAATAATCGATTTAATGAAAACAACGAGACTCCATTTAAATTATGTTGGTTGCTTCCAAATGAAATGGTTAAACTACAAAAAACTGAATATATTAACATACTTCAAGATATTGAAAATCATTTTAAAATACCTAATATAAAAGTGAATGGTTTGATTTGGTATGATTATTGGCAATTAAAATCACAATCATTTATAAATGATATAATGGTAGATCATAAAAAATTGTTAAAGGAGTGTGAATTTTTTCCTGCTGTCAAGAAAGGTATAATGATATATATTACATTGCCACCTACGACATGCACTGTAGAACGATCATTCAGTACACTGAGAAGAGTAAAGACATGGACGAGATCTACAATGAGTGAAGATAGACTTGATGGCTTATGTATGATAAGCGTACATAGGGAAAAAATTTATGATAAAAAGAATGAATATGTAGAACAAGTCATAAATATATTTGGTCTTAAAAAAAGAAATTTACGATTTTTATTTGTAAATTAATATTTTAAGAAATATAATATAATTATAAATATATATATAATTATATAATTTTAAGTGTCCAATTTATATTATTAATTAAATAAAAATTTCAATAAATTAATTTTATGGTTAATTGGATAAATAATAATTATTTTCTAATCTTCCACTTTGATATATAAAATGTAAAATTGTAAACCCCTTCCTACCTCGTGGTCATTCCTTTTTATAAATAGATTGAAAAATTTAAATGTTGTCCCTCCCTTGAGAATTGTATATGGGCGCCCTTGAATGGTTATAAAGACGACATTTTTATTAAACGTTTATAACACCATTTTCTAGAGTGTGAGTACAAATCGATCTTTTTTATGTAGTGATTTCTTGTTTCTAGTATCTATATGACATCGTAATAACGAAAAACACACCAAACGTGGGTTAATCAATTATTGTTTTAGTATAATTTTTTATGCATGAACATAGTTCGTCTCTATTCGACTGAATTTTGATGTCTCTTTTTTAGTGATATTAAATATTCGTGTTCAGAACAAACATTTTGAACACGAACGAAATTTATATGGTAAGTAAAATAATAGTTGTAAAAAATTAAAAATTATTTTCAACATGAAAAGGAATATTTTATTGGTTTAACACTGATAATTGTTTTTATACGACATCCATTAAAACTTGAATCTAACATACATATACATCAATTTTTCTTCTTTTTTTTTTTGGTTAAATATATTTTAGTTAAACATTAATAATAGTAATAATAATAATAATAATAATAATAATAATAATAATGGTAGTCTTAAAAAAAAAAAAAAACATAAAAAAGGTAATATTTAATTTTTTTTCTTTTCGCTTAATAGCATACTCTATACGGGGCGGGCCTAGAACGACGGCCGGTGCTCATTGTTCCGTTAACATCTTCTTCGTCAGTATCGTTGTGGGCATATGGTCCGTGGTGCTGTATCGGCATCATGAATGTGGTCTCGTGTAAATTTGTGCTTCTACAATCTCTAGGGTTTTGATTCGATCCACGTCTAGAACTGCAGTGATGAACATTATGCAATCATAATAACAGTATAATTTTTTATCACACATAATAACTAAACAGGGACTACGACTACACACTAGAGTTGCTAAGATAATTATTCTAGAAAAACATGTCTCAGCGATTGTTTCGTTCATCAAGAACTACAAAACCAGCGTACAGGGTTATAAAAACCATTATAAGGGAGGATAAGTCAGGTCGATAGCCTCCGTTATTAGAGGTCTAGGAATTTTCATAAACTTTTCTTTTTTAGAATACAACTTTCATCGTATAAAATTAATATACAAGGAAAATATAATATTTATAATAAATAAATAAATTAGAATTAAATGCCACATTTTTTAATTTGCTTAAGGGCTCAAAATGCTTAAATCGAGTCCTGTCGTTGCTGGAACAACACATAATATCATATCAATTTTGTACGTTGAGTGTGATTATTGGTAACTAATGATTTTTGTAGTTCGGGAAAATCACTTACTCGGGCAGGGGTAGCAATCTTCGTTTCGGTTTCTTCATCGGTTCACACGTTTTCGAATTTCTCTCGATGTCATCTAAACAACCGTATAATAAACAGTATTATTTATTTATGATCGGATATTTCAAATTAAAACAAACAATGTCGGATCTAAGTCTCAGAAGGTCGAATTACAAATACCAATTGGAGGCCCTTTGAAAAAAAAAAAAATGTTTAAATAACATTTTAATATTCACTTGACACATGTTTGTGTATAAAATAACCAAAATAAATGAAAATTAAGTATCTTAAATAATAGGTGAATTTATAAAAAAAGCATAAAAAATAAAGAACAGATAATTTTAAATTTTAGATTTTGATTTTGGAGGCCCTTTAGAGCATGAGGCCATCGAATTGCACTACCTACACCTCCGCTAAACCCGGCACTGAAATCCAACAGCTGCGAGTGTAAGCTAATCCAATCGAATCCATGTTCAAAACGTGTTAATTTATTTATCGTTGGAAATCTTCCTGTTGCGAAATCAATCGTTGCAGGCACTCAAACGTGTGCATGTAGATCAGAACGTCTCTCGCCCCAGCGATTATTATTAGTTCTCATTTTCTAACGAGTTGTTCTCGGATTTTATGCGGATAAGAGGTTCTTCCATCTTCTACGATGTTTACGCGTGGATTAGGCGCAATTGCAGTAACTTATAGTAACTACATTTTTGGCAAGTATCAATTTTTTCTAGGTTTCAAATATTTTTTATTTTGTTCATTTCGTGCAATCTTTAAATTTATCCCCCTCCAAAAAAAAAAAAAAACATCGCACGTCTAAGTATGCCGTTGCGAGAATATATTAATTATTCAAAACCCAAAAAAGCCGACAACAAAACGTCGGGCACCGTACAAAATTTAAGAGATGTCAAAAATTATCGACGCAACATGCGATTTATTTTTACAGCATTACTATCTAATTTTGCTCGTATGTTTTTGTGAGGAGATTTGTATTATTTCATTATTTAGTTTTTATTTTTTAACTCGACTCGGTACTTAGACGTGTAGAAGAACAAACTGTTTGCTGAGCACGTATGGTTGTCGTTCCAACACAGTCCTAAACATGATCCGACACGATTAACGTAACAATTTATATCATGTGGTTTGACTTACAAAACTCGTGAATAGAACTGCTTTGGCTCTTGGAGTCTTCGTTGTTATTGTCCGAATAGGAATGTGCTCGTTTCGGTATGGGCCGTCTCAAAAAGTTCGTGTAGTCCTCCTGCGAACAATACTGAAATTTATTGTATAGATCATTATTAAACATAGTACCGTCATATTGCTCGTTAAAAACGTGTTAAATCGGTATCACAGTGTACTCATTCGTTACCATTCGATTGCAGTTGCATATTTCCAAATTTTCACCGCAGTTGGTACAAAAATACTGTTTACTCCTCTTTGGCGATTTAGACGGAGAGATTTGAAATGTTGCGTATGGTGATATCTCGTTGTAATCTACGAACAGACCAAAAATCAGTTATTATTAATTATTAGTGTTATTACGCATATTCATCGTTATTATTCTTTGTCCGGTCATGATCATCGGAACACCTCATTACTAGTATTTAAAAACTTAATGTTACTACATATTATAATTAATCCGTAAGGCAACACGAACGAACGTGAATAGGGGTGCTCATATTTTGACGAACAATCGCGTATGATATTTTGTTTTACGATCATATTAAATGTCGATTTCAGATAAATAATGCATTTAACACTATTTTTACGTTGATTTTATTTTTCTAAATAATATTACTACGGTCAATGTTTTAATATTACTTGAATCTTCGTTGGCCAGAATGGTACTTTTGGACTTGAATGGTGTACAAGTTTCATACACATCCAAATGTATTTCCGACTTGGAACAGCTATTATTTTTTAAAATCATGTTGTTTGCTTCCAAGTGACGTTGATTCTTTTTGTACATAATCCCTTTTTTTTTTTAAAAAAAAAACAAACATAACATATTAAAAAAAAAAAAAATAGTTATAAATAATTCGTAATAGTATGCATAATTGACATTAATACTTATTCGATTTTGGATGTCTTTAAACGTGTTATATAATTAATGTATAGTTATTAATAAGTGTTTCTAGGCACCTCCGAAATGTTGTAAATGAGGCTCGTATTTTAACTAATGTTTCTCAAATTAAATGTAATTTATTATAAAATATTTGGTAAAAATAAATGTTATTTCGTAAAAACTTTTTCTGATTATTTAACATCTACAATTGATTAGAAAATTAAAAAAAATATTTATTAGGGATTATATTACAATATTAAATAAAAATTAAAGTTATGTTTATTTAATTATTTATACATTATAGTTTATTAAATACACCAAAATGTGTTTTTAAGATAGGGTCAAAAGTATTATATGCACCCCTTGAGATACATGTCTGCGAACGTCTATGATAGGTTAGGTAACTATAGTTAATAACAATCATGTATATTTTTATTGACATTTTCACAAGCGTATTTGAAAAATTTGAAAGGTATTATTTTTACTAGGTAATAATTTGAAATTCCACGATACTTCATATTTTTGACGTTTTGTTGGGATACCAACGAAGAAAAGTCGCACGATATTTTTTTATTTTTACAAAATTCAACACTTACTGTATCTATAGCATATTATGAACGATATACTGATGACGACGAGCGATAGTATTGCCAATGCGAGTGGCCACATTAGAGCTATGTTGTAGATCGTGTGCATAATCTTGTCGTTTACCGACAACGCTTCTTTGTCATAATTTCCTGAAAAACAAATAGTGTAATATAACATCATAACAGTCCGCGCGCGCGTTAACGCGATGCACCGGTAGCACATGTAACTTTTGGTCGAACCTGCGTAAGCCGTCAAAGTGGAAGCGGTGTACAATGTCGATGTCATACCGGCGGAATTGAAGCATTTCACCAGAATATTGTAGCTGGTCGACGGGCTTAAAGTTTCAATCGAATATATTCCATTTGGTGATATGTTTTCGTTTACTGAAAACAGCACACTGGTCATTAGTTTTGTAGACAGGACATGTGTCCATTGCCATTGTTTATAACGCGAGTTTTCGCTATAAATAACGCATTGTTAATAACGCAACAATGAATTATCGTTTACAAAACATTTTTATACATATCGACGCATTCGGGATGTAAACCACCGTTGGGTAGTAAATCAATTTTTACAGGCTATTCAAATGATCCTCTTAAACACAGACAAATGATTTATAACTTAAAGAGAGAGAGACACTCAGAACTCACGAATTTAAAAGATAAAACCATGGTTCAACATTCACCGCAGTATACTGCTTTATAATATTTCAAGTCGTCTTTAAAAACTTGATGACACCAGTTTTAAATAACTTTTATGACTGAAGGGAACACTAAGGGTACAACTATTATATGATGGTAAAAATTCAAAATTTTTTTGCATTGGTCTTTGTTGATATTATAGAAATTATTATGCATACAACTCCATGTCTAGAGTGAATACATAGAGTTCTAGTAATTTAAAGAATAGTTTATATTTTGTAATCGTTAATCTTTATTCATATAAATTAAATAATTTTAAATTAATGAATGCTAAAAAAAGAAAAAGAAAAAAATACTATTAAAATTTGTACTTTTGAGATGAAGAACACTGACAATAAAGGATTATGGTATTTTTTTCTTCGGGAAATGGAATTTTAAATACTCCGGGTCGATTAGTAATTGATGTGTTTTTGATTAAACTGTATTTATAAAATATTAAGTCCATAACACACTTTATTTTTAAAAACACCATAAACGTGATCGTTCATAATTTTGAAATATTTTATTTTTTCAATATTACTAAGAGGAATTAGTTTTTAAAATGTTTACCAACTAAAATCGAATATCGAACCATAAGTAAGTTAAGCCGTTCAAGTTTGTATTTAAGATAATATATATATATATATATATAAGTATATAAGCAAGGTAGTGTCCATAGTCGTTTTCTGCTACTTATTTAAATACTAAGACGTACTAACTTTTTAACAAATGAAACCTACGACACGGTTCCATGTTTAAAATTTAGTGAATGTATATAATATTGCATGGATATAAGATCGCAAGAGGACTTTGTGATATCAATCATTATGGTTGTAAAAACGATCGTTTTTCAACAGTGCACAAGGGCACAGGTACCCGACCAACGAGCGTTGTCGGGTCGTTGGAAATATTCGTATCGCACCGAATAGCACCACAGCCGACCCGAAGGGAATGTTAAAATTCCCTGTGCTTACCAGTTGTCCATTCCCTCTCGGTGGTTAGCCTTTTGTATACGGCGAAATGTGTGATCGGGCAATATTTGGCGTTCCATTTCTGCAAATGGATCAGAAATCCGTTCATCATCTGCTCGACAGCCTGCAACATACGCGCACACGCCGCGTTAAGCAGTTTTCTTGTATAACATTAAACTAAGATAGGTATACGGTTCCGGTGTATATTTAATACCCAGGGATGTCATAAATATAAGAAGGGTATCGTAAAATGTACGGGGGTGGGATGCGTTATCCGAGTAAATATAATTGAAAAATAAATATATTTTTTAGGAGGATGGGGGGTTAACACTTGTGGGGTAATATTCCCTTGGTCACCCTTCTGAAAAAATCACTGCACGACGTGATCCCGATCGTTGCCCGAATCTAACTCAACCGCAACAACGCGTAATGTTAGCCACGTACTTCGTTTTGGGTCGGTGCGGTCGGTGGTTTGCCTTGCAACGTCTTCACGTTGAACGGCCGGCTCTGCATGCCGTGGCCTACCCGGTTGCTGGCCGAAATGCTGAACGCCACTGTGGTGCCACATTTCACGTTCGGCAGCGTGAAAACGTTCGATTGCGAAGGCAACGATATCTCGGTGTACATGTTTTCCGGTTCCTGGAAGTGTTAAAAACGCGCGTTTTTAATTAGCTATTTTTTTGTTCAAAATCTATCATCCCGCGACATCGGGGCTGGGGCGGAGAGAGGAACTGCTGATCTGCCCTCGGTCCCACGTTTTCCGTTTCGACGGTCGTCAACTTACGTTTACGTATTTGTACGACAGCAGGTACTGCTGAACTGCGTAAGTGTTTGGCGCTTTCGTCCAGTTCACGGTGACGTTGGTCCAGGTGACGTTGACCACGCCGAGGATCGGAGGTTTCGGCGGTTCTGCACAGCAAAAACGAACGTGATTAATTAACCTGATCGATTAGCATCGTTTCATCGCGCCCAACGTCGTATCGATATTTCGCATTACGCGACGGCCGTGATCATCGATAGCGTAATTTTATTCGTTCAGCAAACGGTTTCCGAAGAGTTCCGTCCATCCGTCGGTCTTCTAACGTGCCCACACGTGTCGTCACCGTGCGACGCACGTGCATCAACAGCAAGCTTACTTTCGGTGATTCAAATGTAGTGACGTCAGCTTTGTTGACATTGGAGTAAACTGACCTATAATCAAATCTTAAGGGAAAGACATTATCTGTGTGTTTCGTCGGTCGGTTTTTTTCCAATGTTTCAATTTTTAAGCGAGTTTTGCATTTTTCAAATGGTAATATTTTACACGCTCATAACTCGCTTGAAAATTAAAATATCGGAAAAAACCGACAAATAAACCACGGATATTATTCTTTTCTTAAAGTTTGATTGTAGTTCGGTTTACTCTAATGTTAAAGCTAACACCGAAAATTAAGCTTTACTCGAATTACTGAACGCGAATTAGCCGTGTTGTACGTGAGTCGGTGCAGATGACACATGCGAGTTTGACAGTATCTTAACACGCGGCGTAGTGTTAAAATCAGTGGCCACATTTACTTGGACGCACAGCCCACTCGCTACACGTTTGGGTTCGACTCGATAAAAGCGGTTGGGTGTTCAACTAAATGGAAACGGAAATAGAAAGTTTTTCATTGTAGGAAATATGTTTTTATCGAGCGGAACCCTATCGATTGCAGTGACAACTAGCGGCTGCGTCCACGGACGCGTTGCCAAATTTTTACAATGGGTTCGCGTTTGAACTGAAATCAGTGGCTACAAGCGAAAACGTTAAAATCGTACATGGTTTTCTCGGTACGTTTATGGGTTTTTGAAAAAATTGTGTCGATAAACGTGTTTATTTTTTATTTTTCGTAGTGCCAACGGCAAATATTTTATAATATTCTTATTTACACTTTCTGAAGATATTCATTGAAAATTTCTACTTATAATGATTGATAGACTAGATTTTAAGTATTTTGTAGGAATTTGATGTTATGATGAGTGGATTAGAACTTTTGTTCCGCGATTGCCTAAGCTTTGAATACTTATTGACTACAAAGGTTCGTATCAGGATTGGGAAGTGTCAATATATTCAGAAATTTCTTATACATTTCTGATAATATAAGATAAATATAATATATATATATAATCATAATAAGTAACTATTAAATAAAATGAGGCGTTAAACGTTTTAATACAGAATTTATGAAATATAAATAATTTTGTGTATCCTGCGGTTTTCATAATAATCCGTTCGTGGAGTACTATTGACAATACAAATATTAGGCGATCTCAGTGGATTGTTTACTAACGCGCGTTAAACGTGTCTGATAATATAACGCCACTTATTATCGTGTTAAACAGCTACGTTGACGATGAAGTAATTGTACTTGCCTACTACTAGCAACGAAGTAGTCACGTTCTCCGACCCGTAAATATTCCGGGCCGTGCACGTGTAGTTCCCGGAGTCCATGCCAGTCACGGAGTCCAAGTGCAACGTGAAGTTATTGTAGATCAAACGTTGCAAGTCGATGGGCTGACCGTTGAAAGTCCATTTCACGTTCGGGGCTGGCACGCCGGCAGTGATACACGGAATATCGATGTTCACGTGCCATTTGGTTTGTATAGTGGAGTGGAAATTACCGATGGCCGCGGGCATACCTACAGCATGAAATGTGATGGAATTCCAATTCACATTGATTTCATGTGATATTAATAAAATGTTACATTTTATAATTATTCTGGACCTATTTTTTTATTTTTTTTTTTTTGAGGGAGCTAGTAGGTAGATGACTGACGGAAAATCGCCCAAGTGCTTTCGAACGATCGTCGGAATATACTCGTATTATAATATTTTAAGCTTCTCGAGCTGTACAAACACTTATTAAAAATTAATCCAATAATAGCATCGAGAGCACCTAATGTTAAACCTTTTCACTGCGACAAGGTATGGTCGTAGAGGGTAGGTTTCTCGATCGAAGCACTGGTGGGGGATGTCAAGGGTCATGCGAATGAAAAAAACGTTGAGAAACACGCCGACGTAGAGTAAAAACTACAAAAAGGTTAAGGATTTGTGTTCCACGACGAGAGTGAAAACCGTCGGTCCATTTTTTTTTCTTAAATTTTCGACGTACCAATTTAGTCGAGCGGAATGTGATAGGAGATCAATAAAATGTTTTACGCGGTTCCCGGAAAGGTAGCAGTAAATCAGAAACGGATGGCATGGGAGCGTTTTTTAAACAGAGGTGTTAGAACCGCTTAACTTTTAGTCGTCCAAATCGGCGCAACAAACAAGTTACGATGTGTACGTACTAGCAAGGATAAGAAATTCACGTTACTCGGACACTATACGTTCATACGATTACAGTAATATTGCGCACGTTCGCGCGTTATTTTAAACGCTTCCGGGCACGATGGGACACCTGGGCGACGTACCCGGAACTCCCGGTCCCTCAGCGGTACTGACGCGAGATGTTGGCAGACCAAATTCAATCAGTCGGGACGAGGCACCGATCAAGGGCGTTCCGCGCTGTGTCTACGCTATAACGACATAACGGTTACCTCCGGACTTCACGGTGGACAGGGTGGCCGTCGGTGACTTGTCGCTCTCGCCCACGCTGTTGGTGGCGGTTATCCACCACAGGTAGCTGTTCGAATGTCTGAACATGGACAACTGAATCTGTCGGATGTGCGGTTCGAACGACTGCGATTTCACGGAACCTTGCATGTCGTTTATTTTCTAAACGCACAAGACGACCGATGGTAAATTATTACTTTTACAATACGCGCATACATATATATATATATATAACTGTAGTTTCAGTGTTATGTGTTCGAAAAGAAAATGGTTTGGTCGAAAGAAAAGCCTGTACGGTAAATGCGTCGCGGGCCAAAACGATAACGCGCGACGGCAAAACGTTTATTCGAAACGGCGAGTGCGTTTTAAACTCGATGCCTTAACCTAAGTTCGGTATTTCACTGCGACGTTGATGACTTAATGATACGTAGGCATTGAAATATATATATGATACGTTACTATCCTTGAGGTTGAATATGGTCAACATTCGCAAGATGGAAATTGACGATAACATATTTCGTTTTAATTTTTTTTAGCACACCGCTGATATGTACGAACCAATGTAATCGTATCTACTGTGGTAGTGAAAAACACAGAAAATGCCTTGACCAAGATATTGGCAAATTTAATTGCAACGCTGAAAATACCAAATTTTGGTAACGCAATGATTAAATAATGTGACACATCATATGAGCGCAGCATTTTTATCAGCTATATAATTTTATAGATTTATTTCGAACAACAGTTAAATATTAGACTTAATTACTAACTTATAATATGTTACTTTATTACTATAATATTATTTATACTTAAATATTCCTCACATTTATAAAAACATAAACATTACCTCTCGTTCGTATAGTGTGAAATGTTTAATTTGACCGTTTGGTTGTTTCGGTGGAATCCAAGAAATAAGAGCCATGTTAGACGATAAAAGTATAGACTTTAATCCAGCTGGTGGTTCTGGTACTGAAATTTAATAAATAAAAACAAAACATTTACTGCTAGTGTTGAGTATTTGTATATGAGGATATCTGTTGGTTGCGTTTAATTAGTTATAAAATAATTGGGTATGTCATATATGATATTTTGTATATTATCACTATAATATATTATTTTATTTTATACTGTGATGGGTATGCGATATTTTTTTTCAAAAGTTTAGTATTTAAATTTATTTAGTTTGAATAATAATTATTTATGTTGAAATTGTTCGATGTATTTGACGGCATCTGCACAATATTAACTCACATGATGGTGTGCAATATTGAATTAAATTAAATCGGTGTGGAAAATAAATAAAAGATAATTGTTTAAACATCTTACAGCTTTCTGAAGTTTTGCATATAAGAGGTTTGCTTGATTTGCCAGGCCCTTGAATTGTGTTTACTTTGATGGAGAATACGTATTCAGTATATGTATCAAGATTGGAAATTGTTGCATCATCACCATTATGAAAAACTTCTATTTCATTGTATTCGCCTGAAAATAATAGAGAGTGATTAACAAAAATTATTATATCATGCAAAATAGTAATTAATAGAAACAATGCATCAGTAACATGCAATTTAAATTATAGCAGATCAACTTCAGTGTTTTTTTCGGTCGACATTGTATATAAATAATTTGAGTTTATCAAAATATATAATTTTCCAATGAAAATATTAAAATTAAAATCTTTATTGTATTATTTTAATATTGTTCAATAAAATGGCTTGATTATTATTTTATTTTATTCTGAAAATATTTAAAATTTGATACGAAGAGTTTCATACTATGTTATAGGGATTTAAATAAAAATGTAATAATCAAAAATCAATTATAATAAATACACGTTTAAACTGACATCTAACATGAATCAATATTTTACATAAATTTTATAAAATTTAAACGAATTATTAAATAAATCTACACTGCAGTTTAGAATATTCACTTTTAGTTAAAAAAAATAAGTGTTGTCTACTTTTTAAAAAAATCGACTGGCTTATAAATATTATTTTGTGCGTCGTCAGATAAATTATTAATATTATTAGGTATTTCCGATATTTCTTTAAATAATACATTGGACAACATAATAATCCAGCGAGTAAATATAAAACACAGTGAATTATTAATTGATTCATGTGTATTATTATGGTTTTAAAACATTATTACATCAATCTTTCATTCGTGTTTGTCGGCGGAATAGATTGGTATTATTTTAAGTAACTATAATCAGACTATTGTTAACGGATGTCAAAATATTCGAATATATACGAGAACAATAGTGAAAAACACTCTAAAAAATGAATGCAAGGAAAGAGCAATAATGGAATGTTTAGTGTACAATATATTATATTGATCATATAGTTTATGACTCATAACTCACACGATGTACAACGTATCTCTAAGTGTAGGTGTTTTACGAATTCTACGCAGTACGTACACTGTACAATCCATAACAAATATAAATTACGTTTCATGATTCTGTGGTGTATGGTTTTAAGATAATTAAAAAAATAAAAATAAATAAATAACAAAAATTTGGTGTACTTGAAGACAGCGAATAAAAATAAGAATAAATAAGTACTATTAGTGTTCTGTGGTATTTGTATTCGCAGATAATTTGATGAATTTTAAGATTTAAATGTTCTTAATTACACTGTTAATTAATTTTCATGCTGAACAAATAACTATATTTGTCGTTTGATATTATCTAACGCATTAGATATATTAATATTTTTTAATTATTGTATTTTGAAAGGCAATACCAGTCTTTTTTTTAATAATTCGCCAGAAGGCATAAATCATTTAGGAGTATGTATTTCACTAACGTTTTTCTTCTATCGTGACTCTGGTGATGTACATATTATTATTGTAAAAAAAAGAGGAAACAAATACGAAACAATATTTACAATGATTATATTTCGTTTTCTTAAGTCTTGAAATTACATTTTAGATTTTTTTTTTTTTTTGCTTGTGTTGTGAGACAAATGACATTATATTTATATATATATTTGACCGAGCCAGCAAAAATGTTAAGATGTGGCATTATATGTTTACTTTTTTTATTTGAAACTCTGCAGTTTACCTACTGTAAACATACGGTATCCTTTGGCACCGAAAAGCTTTAATTGAATTCCAACATACACCGTATGCAATTTTGCCGTTGGCTTTTGGCCAAATAAAATGTAGAAAGGTGTATGAATCAACGGCGGAGCTATAATTTTATTCACTGTTACACCAGGTGTGCGTAAACACTATTTCGCAAGGATTCATTTAGGCGTTAAAACAATATAGTTTTATCAGGTTCATAACGTAAAAAACTAGACAAGGAAATAATTAATCGGTGGTGGCATTACAGATGATGATATACGAGGTCTGTTCAAAAAGTACCAGGATTTTATTTTTAATAATTACAAAAATGAAGTTACATATTATTTAAAGACATCGCCTTCAAAATACTCTCCTCTAGACGATATGCAGTGGTTCCAGCGATCTTGCCATTTTTCGAAAGTCCTTTGGAACTGTTCTAAAGTTATAGCTTTGAGTTCTGTTGCCGTATTCGCTTTAATTTCCTCTACATCTTGAAATCGTTGTCCTTTAAGCGCAGATTTTAATCTCGGGAAAAGAAAAAAATCGCATGGGGCTAGATCAGGAGAATAGGGAGGGTGCGGGACCACAGGTATTTTTTTTCAGCCAAAAATTCACGAATTGACAAAGCTGAATGTGCTGGCGCATTGTCGTGATGAAGAAACCAGGTTCCACTTCGCCATTTTTCTGGGCGCTTTTTGCGGATTCTTTCTCGCAAACGTATTAATACATCTTTATAGAATACCTGATTGACTATTTGTCCATGGGGCACAAATTTATAATAAACAATACCTTCAATATCAAAAAAAACAATCAGCATTGTCTTGACATTCGATCTCACTTGGCGAGCTTTTTTTGGTCGAGGGGAAAATTTTGTTTTCCACTGAGATGACTGTAACTTTGTTTCTGGATCGTACCCATAAACCCATGTCTCATCCCCTGTGATGATGTTTTTAATGAAATTAATATCAGCAGATCGATTTTTAAGGTCTTTACAAATCGTTAAACGATTTTCCTTTTGTTCCGATGTCAACAACCGCGGAACGAATTTAGCAGCTACCCTTCTCATTTGTAAATTTTCTGTTAAAATTTCATGACAAGATCCAATTGAGATTCCTGCCTCATTTGCTAACTCACGAACAGTTAATCTGCGGTCATTTCGCACTTTTTCGTAAATGTTTGCCACAACATCATCGTTTCTGGATGTCGACGGTCTTCCCGTACGTGGATCATCTTCAGTTGACTGTCGACCATCCTTGAAACGTTTAAACCACTCGAAAATAACGGAGCGACTTAAAGAATCGTCCCCAAAAGCAGTTTTAATCATTGTGTACGTTTCAGTTGCATTTTTACCAAGTTTCAAGCAAAACTTGATGCACACACGTTGTTCGTTAATTTCAGACATGACGAAAACGGAGATCGAAACAAACTGACTAGATTTAACCACGTATAATATTAAACTGAGATAAGATAGCGACTTCGGGTTTTGTTCAAAATATTATCTAATACGTTGGGAATATATCTATTTATAATTTAAAACGTTATCATGTATAGATTAGCCTCAATAACATTTGTCCTGGTACTTTTTGAACAGACCTCGTATTACATTGGTGATTTTCATTTCACTGTTGAATTCGTAAAAAAAAAAAAAAAACAATTTTTATCATTGTATTCATATACACAGGATGTGGAACGAGGATTTGATTATTTAAATTATTGGTTTCATCTCACATAAAAATAGTAAATCTTCGTGGAGTAATAATCATGTAAATGTTGTTTATAAATATATAGAAAAAATAAGTAAATCGAGACGTTTCGATATAACGTTGGAAGTTTGTTCTTGTTTAATGGTCTTGTTATATGTAATTTATATTTTTAAATATCAATGTTTATCTGATAAATTATTCAAACCATTATAAATTAATTATAGTTATTTTAATCTAATTGCTAAAAAAAAATTTCCATCGATTTAATTGATTTTAATATTTAGAACATTCATGATTACGGTAAACTCTACGCAAACATAAAATATAAAATAAGTGATGAATATAAAACATATTACTATGGCCAATAAATTAAAACAAACGAAATGTTAGGAAATTCAAAAAAAAAAAAATTATTATCTGATAAAAGTGTATAATAATAATAATTGATATATGTTGTTTTGAAGTATGAAATCAAACACATTTGTTTATTAAATCTTTTCAAAAGGAATTAAATTCGAATTAAGTATCTATGTTATGAATACCAAATTTATTTTTAAAATAAATTATTTATTTATATACGATGGAATTCAAAATATAGTGGTAAAAAATTTCTTATAATAATATTTGTGAAATAATTAGCTCGATGTAATTGAAAATTAAAATACGAAAAATAATAATTTGTACGTAAAATTTTAAAACTGAATAAATACATTCTCATTATATTATAATTATATTATATATAATTATATATAATATATATAATATATATATATTTATTATAATATAGCCCTCTATATTTATGTGTAAATTTATGATTTGAAAAAACCCTAATTAGAAATTAATAATTACATATTTTATATAGTGACCTGAAGAACACTATAACACTAAGTAAAAAAATCACTAACAACAATTGCGTACTTCGTTTATATTGATAAAGTTTATATATTCGTTTAATTAGTATACTATTTAATATTTTCTAACTGAATAAATTAAACTACGCAGAAAATAATATAAAGTCAGTTATAATATTATATATAACACCGTTAGACCGTGGTTATAAGAGAGAAGTTAATTTAAGTTTTTTAAATGTGTTTCGAGTCACTAACACAGTGTTGGTAAATATATGAATCGATGTTTACAAAGCTGTATAATTACTCAAAGTTAATGCATTTACGGCCCTCGAGTAAAGGGTTGTTTATTAAAATATTGTAACGCAAATTTAAATACTTTGAAATCATTTCGCATAACTTAATTAAGATACGGAAATCATTTTCGCTGCATAAATTACGGTAACATTTACCGACGACATATAATGGTGCTAATTACATAACATATTACTACACACCTGTAACCCAATGAAAGTATTGTAAATTTTGCTGTTTGCGTTTTAGTAATGTCGTATTTGTATTCGAATGCAAACACATTCCTGTTGATTAAATCGATAAATTTCATTAACCGTTATCCGGAAGTATGATGCTAAAATCCGGCAATCGATAAAATAAACGAAGAGAAACGGTATGTTGCGGTACTGCAATACTGTCGAGCAACGATAGGTTTTCAAATTTGTCAATTTCCGTTTTGAAAGAAATTTCAAGATCGGCCGATAACATCGGGACAAGATCCATGCTAATGTGCCCTGAAAACTCTTATCGCAACTCGAAAATAAAGCAAGTCAATAAAATTCAACGAACATAGCAGAAGAAAAAAGTACGCGGAGTAAGGAATGTAGACATCGCCGATCGGCATTTGTTGTACGTTTTTTCTGGAGTTTAGTGCCAAGAACATAATGCTGTTTGCTTACACGGAGAGTGCAACGTGTATATTTGAAAATGTAAACGATCAGCGTTCAAACGCAATACGCGCAAGTTAGACGTTCCACGATAAACATATACTTTTATACAACTTACTTATCAAGTCGTCGGGAGGCACTACTTTCGAATAGGTGAGCACGTATCCTTGAACGTAGTTGTTCATCAAATTGTTCGCGTTTAAGTCGGTCCACCGTAATCTTACACTGTTCGGGGTTGTGAAGTTGCACGTCAAATCGTCCGGCGGGGATCCCAATACTACGAGGAATGGTTCAAAGGGACAATAATGGATGTATAAGTAAATGTGACACTTAATAAGGTCGTCTGGTTTTCCGCTCACCTTTGATCTCTAATTCCATAGCCGCTTCGTGTTTGCCCAGCGAGTTCTCGGCCACGCACACGTACCGCCCCGAGTCTGCTGCGTTCACTTTACTGATGATCAGTTTGGATTTCACGGACGTATCGGTGTACATTTCTTCCACGTTGTATCTAAATATAAAATTAAATATAATTTTTTTCGTTCAAATTATACACTTCAACATTTGATTTCCAATAAAAGTGTATCGATTGAAATATTACTGCTGTAATGCGTACACTCTTAACTCTTACTACTTACTACTCACGTTGCGCACTGATTAAATCCAACAGTTGTGATTTATGTATTATTTATTACTAGACTTAGTGACTTCTAGGATTTGCATATTTTGTTTGAAAGATTAATAAATCAAAAGAGTCGGGTAGAAATACTGTTTCTGATGTAAGGAATCTAAATTCTAAATTTTATTTTGCATGTATTTGCATATTTTGCAGTGTTTTGTTTTTAGAGCATATTTTAGTTGTATGTAGCTTTTAAGTGCTATAAAAGGTCATGTCATATCATTTCTACTCGTATATTTTATTGTATGCAACGTATTTTTTTTATTTTTTATTTCTTGACGATCTAACATATGATAATCTAGTATTTTTAAAGTATGCGAATAACCACCACAGATTTATGTTTGAAAATATAAGAAAGTATCTAATAGTACTGTGCTATTGAAGGAAAAAAAATAGTGAACAATATAAATAATTTAATGTTATTGTAAACTCATTATTCTGTTCTATATTTTAAGCATTGAGTATGATCAATAACTCTCAAATCAGCCAAAGCACAATTTTTCGACGGAAATACTATTAATAATAATAATTTAGATAAAAGTCAATATTTCAGTAAAATAAAAAAAAAAATTGTAAGCAATTTTAGCGCATATTTGGTTCTTTTCTATATCATATTTGGACGTTTTTAGAGTAAGAAGTTACTAAGCTTATTTACTTTTGTGAAATTTATTATTATAACTATTATTATTATTATTATTATTATTAAGTATTTTTATTCATATTATTATAATTATGTATGTATCTTATGAATTGAATTTATTTCCGAAAGTAAATATGTTATTATTTTTAATATCTCAAAGATATATATTGAGTAACGATAATAAAATATGTAAATAATATTGTATTTCAATAACTGTAAACATTTGAATGACAATTTTCTTCCGCTGTCTTTATACTACGTATTAAACACTTTAAATTGGTGAGTATACAAATTACAACCATATTGGGTTGGTATATAATTGGTAAACAATTAAGATACTTAGAAAATGTTACTAGTTTTGTTTAATCCATTCCCAAAATATACAATACTCGGAGATAATACTAGTTTGTAATATTGAATCAAGTTTTGAGTGGTTTCGTGTAAAACTTTAAGACAAAGAGTGTTGAACTTATGTTAATTATTGAGTTAACAACAACTTTAAATTTGATAAAATAAGTGATTTTTAAGTCATGGGCGTATTTTAGTGTAAACAAAAATTAAAATACAACCAATATTATGTCATTAAAAATGTTATTGTTGTATAGAATGTCGTATAGTATATAATGTATAAAAAGTATAAAATATTATAATAATTATTTAAAGTGATATTATAATATTATATAGCTAAAAAACAGCATATAGTTATATTTAGATTATCATTTAGAGTTAAAATACAGAAATACAATTAGTATTCATATTTGAATTTCTAAAATAATATTAAATACTATAAAAATATCAAAATAATATCTAAATTACATTTATTAACTACTAAAATAATGGTTATACCGTGTTTTGTGTATTTATATTAATTAATAAATATATGTATATTGTTTTTTTATAATTATGTCAGCAGTAGTTTTAGTAATTTGTATAGATTATTATTTTTTTAGTTTGCGTTTAAATGACTAGAGGGTGAAAAAGAATAAAGCTCATTGAATTTAAAATAAGCGATAATCAAATTTACTTTTATTAGCAAATGTAAAAATGAATGACTGGATTTTATGATCGTAACCTCGAAAGTATAAAAGAAAGTTAAAAATTTTAAAACTTTATGGAAACTTTTCAAAATGTTTGAAAGATTAATTATGAGTCTTGGTCGTGTTAATATAAACATTATTGTTTTAAAGTATGTGAATACAAAACTGCATGTACATATTTGTTATTTTGGTTTGAGTATAAATTTAAGATACTAAATAATAATAATGTTAAACTTAAGCTAATGATCATTTATGGTATAATTATGGAAAGCATGGCAATAATGTGCGTCAAAAATGAATAATATATTTGTATTTATGTTTTCTAAGTAGGTTTAAGTTATATAACTTTTCTACAATGATCATATACATATATTTAGAAAATTAATAAATGCATTCATCAATCATTGCAATAAAACTTGAACACTTATTAAAGAAATATATATTAGTAAACTAGAAAATTATTAATTTTATCGTTTTGTGGTTGATTTATTTTTATATTATAATGAATAATTTTATTTTTATTAACATTATTTAGTTGATAAATTATTTTATACAGGTTTGAAAATATCTTCATAATTATAATAATGAGTTTAATAAACCCTAAAAGAAATGTTTTTGTGTGTTTATTTATTTTTTTAGAAATAAATTTACGATTATCTCAAAAAATAAAATAAATATATACTAAACAGTTATACCCTAAAGTGGTACTAGTTGAATGGGAACAATATCAAATGCATATCATGAACATATGATGTATGAGCAAGATCAACAAGCCTAATTTTTTTCAGATTAATTCTGACTCATAAATATTAATAACTCGTTTTTTCCACTCTAAGTCTTACCATACATCGGGGCTTACAATGCTGTCACAAACAAAACGTGTTTTGCGGAGAACGTTACAACTACGTGACTGGATTCCAAAAAAACTAATACTTTCTATTGGGCTTCTCAACTACATAATATTGTTTCTACAAATGTATTCGTGTTCTTAATACCTGTTTTCTTCTCAAGCATTACCATTATGCTTCAGCGAGGGCGTATCTAAAACACTACCTACCTACTAAATCGTGTTTTATATTATATTTCAGAAATAACGTTTTACCATTTCCCATACAAACAACCATGCTGTAATGGGGTACCATTTTTAAAAGTTAATACGAATTTGAACTCGCTCGTAAATATCACAAGATTATTGTGGATATGAAACATAAAAAATTCGTTTCTTTTTTTTTTTTTTCTTGTTGTTGAGAAATCTCGTATTTTATTTGTATTCGTGAAACTTGTTGTTATAAGATATGAAAATGATAGAGATTTAGAATAGTCAATTTGAAAAACCTAAGATCACTATGGGCCAAACAACGGTTAATGGGAACGAGTCATGATTAAATAGTCAACAAATAATTGTTATTGTCGAACGAGAAGAAAAAATTTAAAAAAAAAAAAAATAGATATTCCTGTCATGTGTGCTCTGAGTTTTTAATTTTTATTGGTTGCAATCAGTATTATAACAGCAAATTATAAAACTACAACATTTCGGTTTACATTGGTACTATTCTAATTTTCTTAAAAAAAGGTAAAAGATTTATTTTGACATTATATAAAAACAACATAAGAATATCAAAAGAAAAAGGTGTAGAAATATTCATTTCTACGTAATTCTTCTATAGTATAAGTGTAAAATAATGGAAATAATTTAATTTAAAATCATATAAATTATATTAAATTTATTTTATGTTTCTTATAGTTATATTAGGATTTTAATTAGTTAATTTAGAAATATTACCAAATTTATAACGAAGAAACATGCGATTTTAAATAGACACGTATATATATATATTAAATATACCCGAGTGTGTGTGTAAATTTGTAGAATTTATTCATTGATTATTTCAACAATTATAATTATGGTCGTTACCATTAAGCCGTGTCTACATATAAAACTACAGTGTTATAATTTTTATTGGTTTGTAACTACTATTTATTTTACGATCCTTGATATGGTTGTAAAATTAAATTGCAAAGTTTTTTTTTTTTTTTTTTATCAGTATTATTATTGATTATCTTCAGATGACAGTTAATAAATATGGTTCGTATAAAATGAACGACCAGTTGCACAAAAGTTACCGCGAATGCAGTGATCATCAAAAATTCATGTGCGTTTCGGGTCTTATTCACTCTGCGGCCGATGTCGATTAAGATGTAAATCCGCGTTCTTATCTCCAAAGCTATTTTATTGTTATTATTATTCTGGAAATTGTTAAAAGTTTATATTCTAGCGTAGTTAGATATCGCGAACCCTCGACGGGGTGTCGTCCATATTTTATTCGAGTATATTCAATACCGTTGAATACGATTTCATTAAAACGCAATACATAACTATGACGCATAAATATGCTAAGCACTATTCTCGTGGAACCGCAGCTCGGATTTGTATTTGAATACGAAATAACGCCACAGTAAATAATTTATATACACGCGAAATTGAAAAAAAAAATTCTGCGGCTGGTAATAAAATATGTCAACTCGAACGCAATGTACAGCATGACGTTATAAACGTTTATAAAGATGCTCGCGGCCACAAACATTATACAGTGCATTAGCATTGCGATTTTGGCAACAAGAAGCGTTTCACCCTCCAAGATATTTTATAATTATAATATTTATATTTCTTATCAGTAGGCAGTCTTTAGTTAATTTGACAAACACTTTTTTGCCACCGTAAATCTTAGGTCATGGTTTGTCCGCGTCGTTTCCGTTAAACATTTAAAAATACATTAAGTCACGGGGACAATATTGTCATTCTGATCTCAACAAAAAATACGATTACGATATAAATAACCTACTCGTGACGTTCGAAATTGAACAAACACACGAGAGCACGAAAATTGTTTTTACAATAAACAAATCATTCGTTAGTGCATTTTGTAATACGATAGTCGTTTGCGTACGTCAAAAACCAATTGTTTTTTTTTTTAATTTTTCAACAAAAATAATTACAAGTAAAATGGGTGGTTTAATGCTTTTGGACCACAAACGCATACGGTATTATGTGGTGATCACGCACATGCACACATGATCGTGCGATCGCAGTTGAACATCGGCTCATTTATTTATTCGACAGTTGAACTACCCGAGGATCGTTGGTCGCGCATACCCAGGTAACACGGTTTTTATACGTATTATTTCATTTTAATAACATAACGGTGGAAATGACGTTAGTTTGGTTTTGTTCGCAGCCGCAGTTACCTGAGATTGGTGATCTTATAGTTCAACTGAACGGAGCCTTTGATCCACGTTATATGTATCGGCTGGTCTCCGGTCGCCTCGCAAGCCATCGACGCCATCCCGCCGTTTATCGATGTGTACTTGGTGTTCGGTAGTATTATGTGCGGCAAGTCTGAAAAAATAAAACGGATGACAAATGGTCGGACGACGAATGATAAAAAAAAAAAAAAAAAAAACAGCAAATAACTGTATCCGACGTCATCTCTCCCTGTCCGTATTCATACGCATTGATATTCTAGCACCTCGTTCGATACGTTTACACGCAATACCGTACCACCGCAATCACTTAAAATGCATGTATTCGGTGCTCTCGTGTCCGCAGGGGCCTACGTCGGAAACGGTTCACCACCACTATGCGCCCGAATCGGTAAACCACGCACTGCGACAACCGTTCTTGCGTGCCACATTCATAGGTGTCGATATCGTGTACCATTATTCATTCGGCGAGTCGCGGTCTTTGGATTTTCTCTTCCGCGACCCTTCCGGCCGTGTTCCTACCCGAGCGTTATGCGTTCGACGCGTACCACAACTGGTGCTTCATAATATTGCACCGCGCAGAGCCGTAGGCTGTACAACGTAGAATTTAAATGGAGTTCGGTAACGAATCGTTCGAAATAATGTTGTACGTTATAATTGTACAGTTTCGAAAGTGGTGTGATGCATATGATGTACGAATGAATTAAACAAAAACCATATCGTCTTGTAGGTCAGTGATTGAAAATCTACGACGGGCGTGAAAATTGAATTATTCGTTAAATTACGTTTAATCTTTAACAGTAAATAACAAGGCGAAATTGAACCCCTTTTAAAGTAGGAACGTTGGTTATATGGTCGATTTTTTCTTCGATTCATTCACGCGAGTCAATCTTTTCGGAAACGATTTTTATTAATTTTTAATTTAAAAATCGACCAACAGATCAATGCAGAAGTGCCGTGTGTAATTTATTATTAGTTAACAATTATAAGCTGCTGGCCATAGATTAATTGGCTTCAAGTGTACAACTACAAAAATCATATAAAGCAAATTGGTAAATAATTCATGTTATTTTCTCAAATTAAATCCTCATTTTATTTACTTAATGCACAAAATAAGTACATTTAATTAAATTACATTACATCATAATTAATTGTTTTTACACACACAATATTTTAATAATTTAATGGTATGTATAAGAAGAAGAAAAAAAATGAAAAATATACCGCATAAACTATATGGCAAGTAATGTTAAAAAAATTTGCCACCTCTTTTATAAGTAATTATAGTTATTCCAAGTATGATAAATTTCAAATCAACTCGTTGCGCTTACAACTGCAAGTGACTCCCGTCCGTTTCGGGATACAGCTAGGTAGTGTAGTGCCCCCACTAAAAGCGTAAGCAATTGCGTAATAGGATTAAAGTTTTATTTTTAAAACATTAATTTAAAATCACCGACAGTATAATAATTAAAAACGTACGGCTCAAGCGTCACAATCCCATGATACGTTTTATACTTTAATTTTAACGTTACTGCGTGTGACATAAATCAAATATCACGAGCTGTATTCGAAATACGTGTAACAACAAATAATTGTTTTTATCTCATCAAGTGAGGTTTTACGATTTGCCACTTGGCTTGTCTAGTCTTAAACGTTTTAAAGAATATTGTTACTTGTTTTCTTCCCCATTTTCTAACTCTCTATAGAATGCCAATTCAGCGAAAGATATTGAACTAAGTTTATGTCATAGCCAAGCACGATTAGTATTGTACGTAGTAACGTAGTATAGTACGTGTAACCGCATATCAGTTGCCGTATTTTGGCGCATATCACAATGCAATTGTATTATATCAAATGGCTGTGTGAATGGAAATACGAATACTTGTTTTATGTAAATCTCAACCGTCTTGGTATTATTTTGCAAGGAAATATATTATGTATTGATAAATACATTTTGACGTCTTTTCACCGAACAAAAACCAATATGTGCAAGTTTATCACCAGTGTACCGAAAGCTAACAGTATGATAAGTGTGTGGACAACCAGACAATAAAAGCACACACTTATGTATTTTCACAATCATTTTAAATTTAGATAATCGTTTTATTTTCTTTTAAGCAGGATTTATTACATTAAAATCTATTGTGTTAAAAATATTAAACTTAATAAATTTATCAAAATTAATATTTTAGTGAGGATTACTTTTTTTAATTCATAGTTAAAACATCACAAACCGACAATATAAGTTTTCAAGACCGGCAATGTTTTAATTAATTTATGTTTTTTTATGTTTTTCTATATACGAATATGTTTTAATTTATACGTTTTCATAGCTAGTGTAGCTAGCTAGTGTAGCGGTAAATTAAAATCGGTTTTTTCGGTACCAAATTTCGCATTCTTGCACCATTGTTCCATCCATCTCATATCATTACGATAAATATTATATTCATCGAAAACCACTAACCTTGCACCTTGAGACGAATGACCGAGTTGATGGGCGTGCCGACCTCGTTGTCCGCCTCGCATATGTAGTACCCTTCGTGTTTCTTCGTCACTTTGCTGATGACCAAGGTGCCATCGGACGTCACGTTGTCCAACACGTCGGTAAACTGATCCGAATCTTTGCCTGAAACAATCAAAAACATTATGGGTGCATGTTGCAATCGACCGCGTCTCGTGTGTGTTTCTAATAATATTACTGGGTCCCTTTCGCCATTTTATCTTCGGTTTGGGATGTCCTGATGCGGAGCAGTTGACTTCCGCCTGATCGTCTCGTACCACATTCACATCCTTGGGCTCGATTATCCATTCGGGAGGCACTATATCATACGTACAAACGGTTTTTATCGGTTTTTGAAACTCATATTTTATGTGTGTGTGTGTGTGTGTGTGTGTGTGTGTGTAAAGTTTCAACGGTGTATGTGATATTACGGTGCCAAAGTGGTGCTTTTCGCATGCAAAATATAATAAAAAGTGATATGCGAACGTAAGGTTCGCCTAAAACGATCAAACAATTAATGTTGAGTTTCGTAATCGACAATATACGAGTACGATCCGATAAACGGGTGGATCGATCGTTGAGTGGTTGCACCTCGTACCAGCCGCCAGCGAATGCGGTGGACCAGAGATGCGGTTGTTCGTCGACCTAAATGTTTGACCCAGGCGATACACCTATCTACCGTTATCATGCGCTCCGTCTGCGTTCAACGTGTAGCGACAAAGTCAGCTTATAAAATAATATTGTTGTAATCGTAGCGTTACGAAGAGAAACAAAAAAATAAATAAATAAATAAAAATATTTCTTTGATACTTTTTGCGGATGAAACTAGTGCCGAAATACAAATCGCTTTGGTAATCAATCAATGCGCACTCAGACGTACGAGTTGTGGTATTCGTTTGCAGTGTTTTGCCATCGCGTAGGATATGAAAACATTCGTTTTTCGGTTGTTTGTTCAATATTTTTGGGGTTTGATCCGTTTTTTCCGCCCGTATTAAAAACTGATGTACGGGTATTATTCACTATATAATAGCTATAAAATAACTAAAAGGACATTGCAGTGGTTGGGATAAAATGTATTTTTTTTTTTAAACTCGATAAATAATATAAAAATAAAAATAATTAATTTTGACGTTTTGAATTGTTGCGCTTTTCAATTGAGTTTTAAATTCCGTTGTGCTAACTCGTTTTATGCAAGTTCTGGGCAATTAATTTACTTTTTAATTCACTTTAGCAGTAAACTATAATTTATACATTATACTTTGTTTATTATTATATCTAAAAGAGAATATCTTATACGGTATGTATATATTTTGATTTCATTATTTTTGGTACTCGCGCTATAATAATAGCTTGAGTACGATATTTCATTCCCGAGTCCTGAATGGAAACTGTATAGCCTTTAAATCCACTCCGTGATATTACGAGAGTTTCACCAACAAGTTAATTTTCTTTAATAAAATTCAAGCATTTCGAGAACTTTAGAAAAACAATCTGTACATAATAAATAGGAAACAGATTTATAATTTATCACCCTGAACAAAATATATAATTACAAATATTTATTTATACGAGTAGGCAATAAAAATATTTATAGTATGCGACAATGTGCTCGTTAATTTATCGACTATTTTTGAGATACTACAAAGTTAAATTAAATCTATTCGAGTTGAAATAATTTTCAAAAATATAAAACAATTAGTTTATTTTCCATAAGTTACGTCATAAAATACGTTGAAAAATGAAACTGTCCATCAAATGTCAATTTATAGCTCCAGATTAGGGTTCGAATATCTTTACAATTTCATATTTTTTTCTATTGATCCAATTTAATTCGGACTTGAATACAAATTTCATTAATGTTCTACTGATCCAAATAATACTATTTTTACATTGCATATTTTTACATATTTTATGGTTTTATATTTTAAATTCATACTTTTGGGTTTTAAGAATATAAATGCATACAACAGTACATTTACGAACTTTTCTAAAAACAATTTAAATCAAAGAAAAGTTAAAAGATAAATTATCGAACTTTATGTTTGTCCCAAATATTTTATATTCAAATTTGATCAAATTAAAAAACTATTGTATCACTTAAATTGTAAATTTTTATGTAAATACTTAATATTAAAACATATATAAGTAGAATATGAAAATAAAAACTTATAAAATTAAATATATACTTATGAATTATAATTCATTTTTAATACTTAAGGTAAAATACATTTTAACTTGCATATTTTGGGTTTTATTTTAGCTAAAATGCATATTTTATATTTTCTGTAACTACATACTTTGAATACATATTTATTAACTTTTTAGGACATTAATGCATACATATCACAGTTCTTTTAAGTGAATAAACATTCGACCCTACTCATGATTATAATGAATAATAAGTAAAAAATCTGTGGCTTAAAATAGACCAACCTTTATTTTAAATAAATTTGGATATAAAGCTGATAATGAAGTAAAATTATAAGAAATTTCGTATTGAATAAATTTTCAAAAATTGCCGTCACTTCTTACAAGTGGAGTACTCATACTCATGAGTGTTTGCGCACTTTTTAATTAAGTCTATACAAAAAAAATAACCAATTATCAACAGGAACTATTATTTGTTTCTTACGATTTCCTTTCGCAAATCAAAGTGTGTCGAATCTTTTAAATGGGTTAAAAAATCAATAAAAATTGGTTTTTAAGTCGTTATGCGTACGGTGGTACATGTTTTTGGCGCAATCGTTTGCGATATTTTCGTCAAAAAAAGGTTTATCTGAGAAGCCAACATAACTCTCTCCCCCAGATATTACTGGTACGACCGATCAAACGCATCTCTGGTGCCACTGTTTTCGGGGCGGCTCGGTCGAGGTACCGTTGACGGTCAGGTGCGCGGTGAACATGGCGCTGTGCACCGGGTTGGCAGCCACGCACGTGTAGTCGCCCGTGTCGGACCGAGAAACGTTATTCACGGTCAGTATGGTGGAGTAAGCGTTGAAAGGCGTCGTGACGGCTCCACCGGAGCCGTGGTGCACTAGGTCACCGTCCTTCAGCCAGGTCAGGTTCAGCGGCAGGTCGCCCTGGTGCACCGTGCACGCCACCTGGACCCTAGAGCCTTCGGTGAGTTCGGAAAAATAAAACGGAGTGATTTCTGGTGGCGCTGGAAACAGAAAAAACAACGACGGCGACGGGAAGAAACGATCAAATAACAAGTACAAATGCAAAGGCAATTCGTGCAAGATGAGTAAAAAATTAAAAAAAAAAAAAATAAAAATATATAAAAATATTAGTGAAAATAATTAATGAATAAATAAGAAATTGTGCTCGTTCGATGTACGCGCGCACACGCGAAACAACGTATGTGACGGAATGACCAAATTGTCATCGTTGATGGAACGCGTATTATTATTATGATCAAGGCAGTGAAGTTATTCAATTATCACATCATTTTTGCGTAGATGCTAACGCTCTATGTTCAACAAGCTAAAAATGTGTTACGCTTAAGAGGACCCTTGTGTGTTGCATCCGTTATACAAACGTTCAGCATAGAAAATCTGCGTCCATTAAAACCAATTTTATGATATTCGTTTTAATATTAGGATAAAATAATTTAAATATCAAACTTAAATACGAGAACGTTATCTGTGCAATTATATAGATTTTTACGATATTATAATTTTTAAAAGAGTTATGCTTATGTAAAATATTAAGTTTTTAAAAAGTTCATTACAAGCTCAACATTTAAGATATCGTAAAAATCTGTGTTATTGGGCAGATTACGTTATTCTCTTCGAGTTTGATATCAAGTCAGTTTACTCCTGTATTAGAGATAATAACATAAAATCGGTTCTAGCGGATGCTGATTTCCCATGAATTATGTTTATCAGGCCGTTAACGTACATGCGGGTGTTGCGTCCTCGTGGTTATTAATTGAAATACAATTTACTTTAATTTTATTATAATGAAATGTAATTTTAACGAATGTTAGGAAGACTTTAACTGTTTTACATAATAATTGTACAATTTTCATAATACACGAGGAAATGGAATTTTAACTGAGTTAAAAGTAAAGAGTGAAAGTTAAAAAGTGATTTGCAAAAAAAGATACTGTTCGTTTTTCTAAATATTTGAGCGAAGAAATATAGCCAATGGAGGCACTGACTGGATCAGCAATAATGTATTACACTTATACGTATACGCGTATAGTTAGGAGCATCGTTGTGGAAATAAGTTTCTTCAGGAACTTGTTGTGTGATAGCAGACAGTCATCCGACTTCGAATAGCCGAAAAAAGAAAATCGATTGCTTGTCGTAATTCTGCGAAAGTTTTTAATTGTAGAATTTCTTTGTATTTAAATTTTTTTTCAACGCGAATTTCAAAACGATTATCGCAACTTTTAGTGTATTTTCGGTAAAATCGATTCACAATGAGATTTTGCGATCACTTCACTGCCCTAATTATTACATACCCATCACACGATGGTGTGATTTTATGTATTCGTACGCGAGTGCGAGTGTGCGCGCGTGCATGCGACGTATCATATTGTTCGCGTGTATCAAAAACACTACTGGTGCTATAACGTAACGTGTTATTGGTTTAAAACAATATATTAACACAATGTGCGCTTCACGTGATCGTACAGACGTCGTGAGACCGGCGTGCCCGTCCACAGTAGACGTTGGAGTGTTGTTTACGGTATTATTATTATAACTAATATGAACGGCAACCACGGTACACGGTCGCAAAGTAACGAACACGAGTCATTTGGTGGTTTTCACTAACTCGTGTACATGAGTTCAGCGCGTGCCAACCATGAACCTGATGGCGTTTTTACGACATTATTATATTACGCATTCGCGAAATCGATTAAAATATATATAATATCGTAACGTTATCGATTTTCGGAGGATACGTAACGATATCTGTATCGCACTCAAACTTGTACAGCATGCAGGTCGCATACCTTAGAATCGTATCTTAGAATAATTGCACGTATTTTAATCTGTGTAGTTGTATAATATAGGTTACGGTAAAAGTGCGGATATCGGTAGAATTACACTGAACGTCCGAGTCTTTTGAGATTCACACAATCGTTTATCGAATTCATTTTTCAATTAGATTACATTTTGGCTAGATAATTGTGCGATTAGTTTTTTCAATTGTGTTCCATAATCGGATATTTTCAAATACATTTAATAATTTATATCATACGTTACGTCGTTGTGAACAGTACCAGAACTGATTAACGCTGTGTCCAAATACACACTATATTTATAGATATAAAAATAATATTCAGTTGTAATTCAAAACACCAAAGTAACGAAAATAATGAAAATAACCAATTACATAAAGGCACAACGATTGCAATAGTTCGGACACGCTATGCGAAGGGATGAAGCAAAGGCTATGAGGGCAACCATAGAATACCAACCTAGTGGGAAAAGACGGAGGGGTAGACCAAGGGAGTGGTGGTTCGATGGAGTAAGCCAGGATCTAAGAACACTAGACGTAGAAGCCTGGGAAGAAATTATCCATTATAGGGAAAGATGGATGGCTTTGACGGTGGTGGCGAAGACTCTCGGAGAGTCATAAAGCCAAGAAGAAGAAGAATTCAAAGCGTTTTAAATAATCAGACACTTATGGTTATATTTTGTAAGCTAATTTTAGCAACGTATACCTACGTATCAGTATAACGTGCACTAACACCTGATTTAGACATATTTTGAGCCCCTAGGCTATATAAAAAATATGGAATTTTACACTAATTTTTTTTTTAATATTATATTTTATACAATGAAAGTTGTATTCTAAAAGAAAAAAAGGCTCATAAAAATTTCAGACTCCCTAATATCGTAAGCCATAGGCAGTTGCCTATTATGTCTATGTATGAACCTGACGTGCACAGTACTTGTTCGAATGATTTGGAATATTTGCATTGTCGAAACAAACGGTTTTTTGATTAAAAACCAAAAAACCTTTATTTTCCCGGAAAGTTCACCGAAAGAGTTTTACTAAACATTTCTAAGTAGTTTCAACTAAGAAATAGTTCAAAGTATTAATTTGTAAAAACCCGATGCACCCATATAATTACCATTCGGCTGGCTGGCCTTTTTACTTCCGTTTGTAACTTCTAAGATTTCAAAAGAACGGCCGGTAGTATTCAGAAACTCAGACGTTATTCAAAACCGGCTGTCCATAAAAACTTGGATCTATCGATATCCGAACACTTTTTCCGTAGCACCAAACATTATACAACGATACGTCATTCTCATTCACTTGTGTGTTCTACAAGCTAACAAGATCACATTTGAATGATTTTATAAACCGTACGTTTGTACGTTATCATATTATTGCATAGTTCGACGAAATGTTCCATACATATTTAGATTATGTTTGCGTTTAATATCTATGCATAATTCAACAATGTGACATCGTTGTTTTCCTCGTCGCAGACACGCAGAAGTTTTGCGATACATGTTGGTATAGCGATGATATTATTAAGTGTACTGCGATAACGCGGGGCCAACACTCCGGGACCGGTCACACGCGTCCTCTACTGTGATGCGACGTAGTAAAAATAATATACATCGTATAAATATAATATATCCATTAAACAGTGCTCCTGGTGTTACAGTAATAATATCAATAGTAATATACTCGAGTAATAATATATAGTGACAACGACTATACATATATTATATAAGTATATACAGGGTTATTCAGATATACGTTATTAAATACAGTCTATTTCTCGGGCAACTCGTGTTTTCAAAAACATATTTAATTAATATCAAAATTGATTTTTGAGTTCTAAAATGTTAAAAATCCGGACAGGAAAATTTTTTTGACATTTCGATTTTCGAAAGTCGAAAATATTTGTATTTTATTTTAACAGCAGTCGATGATTTTTTAAAAATGTGTTTCTATAGTGGATAGGCGTTAAATAAATTGGAACGGTGGCAGAGAATGGGTATAAATCTTGGCACGTTACTTCGATCACATAAACTTAATTTACTTTTTTATCGACGAAATTCGCACTTGTAGTAGTGCTTTAAATTTTGAAAAAATTTAAAATGGAATATTTATTGTTGATCATTCATTTTGAAAAAAATATAATTGCATTCACGATAAAATAAGTTTTTGAAAAAATTTCTTAATCATTTATTATACTTAAAACCGATCAAATAATACTATTTTTGAAAACACGCATGCACGGAGCAAGAAAATTAACGTTTTATTTGACGAATCGAACACCCTGTACATATTATAAGCTTTTATGTTTATAACAATAATAACTAAACACGTGTTCATACTAATACCACGTGGGTGGTGCTTGTGCGAAAAAATAGTGGACTGGTGCAGGAATCGTGTACGTAATAAAATATACTTATTAAGTGGTGTTTTTTTTTTGTTTTTTTCATGTATAACAGACAAAACATGTGACTACCGCGTATTATACAATACATCACACGGTTTTGCATTGATCAAAAACAAGTTGGATTATAATTAATATACAAATGTTATTAGTACACTGTCGGTCTAATTTACGTAGTGTGCGGTGCGTTTTGCGTGTGCGTAAAATACATCTATACAACGCGATCGCGTGGTGCGGGTGTGCGGCGAGATAATTGTGTGGCGGCTACGCCGTCGCGTGTTGTCGTGCGATAATAATAAACTTGGAAAAAGATTCCGTGAGAACCGTCGTCGGCTCTTGGACTGTTCATTTACTACCAACTGTTATTATTATTATTATTATCATAATGTATTTAAGTTATACGCGATTGCTTTGGACATTTTTGACTTCACAACGTGTATGTTAATCAGTAATACCATGCGTCTATATGTATCCAAGAACGAAGAAGTACGTACCAAAGTTAGGCAAAAATTTTGAAGTACAACAAATAAACAAATACAAGATTTGCCCAAAGGTAATAGATTAAACCCAGATTCGCAATATAAAACTGCATATCACGCGATTTGAACTTGATAGTTTTGCGTTGGAAACCGAACTAAACAAACTGGCGAAAGTTTTCGGTAATCGCACCACGAGTGCACGGAAAAGTTTTAGACTGTATACGTACCTACACGTATCGATGGTACTGATGAAAGTTATACGCACTATGAACTACTTCTTCTTCTTCTTCTTATTCTTAGGCTTAAAACAGACCATTTAGGTCTAATGCCGCTTCTACAATACCTCTCCAATATCCAACTATGAACTACTATGAATTCGAAACTGTTGATTATGGTTTTCGTTTACGTAGTTCGGATTCTCGTAGTAAAAATCGATTTTACCTTGTACCGTGTACTACTTTTAAGACGAATCAACAGTTGTGTTCGTACATTAAAAATCACGTTTATCACGAAGAAATATTGCACGGATATTATGTTTATATGCATTAACCGTAGCGCACTCATCGTAAGCGAAAAAGGCCGATGTAGCGAACATCTAATGGGACGTTGAGTGATTTGTACTGCGGCAGGCAATCCGTACGGGATCGGTCAGAAAATGTAGTTTTTGGTCGAAAATATCACAATCGCGTGGATACATATCCCTCTGCCTCGGCATCACGCAGATCATGCCGGAAGTTCGCAGGACAGTAGTATAACAATATTTAGTTGTAATTATGGAATGAATTTGAATAATAATAATAATAATAATAATAACAACAATAATATCAGTACGACGAGCCAATGTGTCGACGACAACAACAATACATGTGCGTATCGCAAGCGCAACCAGGAGAGAGATTGAGCGTGGTGTGGAGGGGCTCGAAAGTTTTCTTACACCCAGACTTTTATTGTTCCTCATTTTTTTTTTTTTTTTTTTTAACGAGTTTTGCGCACCATTTCCATCGACAGGCGTGGAACAATTGAACATATAATGTGATTGACGACGAATTATAACACAGACGGAAGGCCGTTGGATCGTGACGACAGTGAGCTTTCTTAAGTATTTGGACACCATAGTTTGTGACGTGAATTCGAATCGATATCAAGTGTAGGACGGGATGGACGGGCTAGGGGGAGAAATCGGAAACTACAGGATCAACGGTATATTTGCATTACACGGAACGTCCGAGAAACTTCGGGTGCTTCGGGTCTTTAACAACGACGATGCCGCCGGGAAAACAAAACGTCGCAGCTAACCCTACTCCACCACCACCATCCCCGGTAACCCAGTCGCGGCCAAAGGGGTGCGCTTGTGCGAATGCGTGCGATTGCGTGCGTGCGTGCGTACGTGTGTCTGGACAAATCGTAGGTTAGGTACCGAGTACGGTCAACGTGACCGTGTGCTCGACCGTGGCCACGGGGTTGGTCGCCCGGCAAGTGTAATTGCCCTCGTGCGCCAACCGTATGCTCTCGATGAGTACCGAGCTGCTGTATTCGTTCTGATAGGACACGGACAGCGACGGCGAGGACGCCGGGTCCAGCGACTGGTTGTTTTTCAGCCACTGGATGCTCAGCGGCCCGTCGCCTTTGGTTATGAAACACTGCCATCCGACGCGCCCGCCTTCGTGGTAACCTTCTCCTATAGTGAACGGGTGGATGTGCGGTGGTTCTGCAATACACGTGTAGTAGTAACAAAGGTACAGGACGAACACTCCGGTGGTGTACGGGCGACCCGAGTGGACAATGGCCACCGTTTTGTGTGTATCTGGTGTGTGTGAGGCGTATCTGGTATACCGTTCGAGGGGAGGATTATGAGTGTAAGACTGTTGAAAGTTGCATTTTTTATAAACCAAAAGATACGGGAAAAAAAATTCAGACCGTTACGGGTAAGAAGTTCAACCCGTAAACCACTCATTCGGCACACCCTTGTGTGTGTGTGTGTGTGTGTGTGTGTGTGTGTGTGTGCGTGCGAGAGAAAAATGGTGCACGAGTGTCTTGTAGCTTTAATGGGGTGAACCGAAGCAAATAGTTTTTCGTAGTGGCCATTTATCATTCGGACTGTGATATAGTTGTTTCACACGTTTCAATAACGGTCTCGATTATGCGACATTCGATGCACACTCCCCTGTAATTTGAATGCATTTTTCAAAAAATTCGTTTTTTTCCCCCATAATGCCTATTATGGACTCGAAACCGATGGAAAACATCCAGAACGGTATGTGAGACGTCCTCATGAACTTTGAAGCACAATTCCGTTTTAGTTTTTTTTTGTTCTCAATTTTTGGTGTATTCATTTAAACAGCGAAACAAATTCGGAAAAAATAATGATAGAAATTATACGCTACGCCGTTAAATATATCATATAGATAAAAACTATTATACATAAATAAACTTTTATCGTAAACACTGATCTAAAATTTTCAGAATTAGTCTATTAGCCAAGTGTATATTTAACGACGGAATTTCATGAATTACAAGATTCGTTAGTAATTAATAGGGCCCGGAATTATATGCACTAAAAACGTATGAAATATGCTTACATTTATGCGATGGTTATCATTCAAATATGCATGTTTATTATTTATTAAATTTATTTAATTTTAAAATTAATAAAATTCATTAAATAATTAATATTCAACAAAAAATATACTTAAAGGTAACTTAAAAAAAAATATATAATATTTTTTTCTATATATCCATTATATTTCAGAAAAATACTAAAATATGCATAATAATTTGAAATGTTCCAAATATGCAAAAGTATGCCAAATTTATTTTCGCATACCAACACATTAGATTAAGATTCAAATTTCTGTCTTACCTAGCTACTTTTTAGTTTAATATATAAAAATATGCAAATGCATACAATTCCGGGCCCTAGTAATTAATAATAACGAGGAGAACGTTTTAAAGGATTAAATTAATTACAATTTAATTATTGTTATTATGGTTATAATTGTTAATTTTTTTTTTATTTTTATTATTGTTTGATTAAAGATGTTTATGGTCATAAATGAAATGGCAAAAATTTTAAATTGTTTTTAGGTGTTTAGAATTACTATGATTTATTCGAATCAGATCTACAAGGAAAAATATTCCGCAATGTAAGAAATATGTTTGTAAACATTTCAAACATATTTTTAATTTTTTTAGGCTTAAAAAATATAGTATGATGTACAATATACTGTTGAATAAAATGAATATCGCAGGACAAAATGATAATGTACAGAAAATGCAGATAACGGAATTTGATGAACATTATTAAAAGTTAAAGAAACTTAAAAAACGTTGCGTACATTTCCATTTAAAAAATTATGTACAGTAATTATTGTACTATTAAACCGATTTTGAACTATAAGGTTTGCTTTGTTCAATTAGTCCTCTAATAAAACACCGAACCCCGTTTTGGGCACGTTTAAAATACATGTGCACCGAAGACGATAACATATTATTCGAGGAATGTTTTTCCAATATTCAGCCGAATCGTTGAATTCACTTGTGACCGACGACGCTGACAATCAAATCATTGTACATTTAAGGGTAAATGCGGTACATGTCTAATGGATGGGTTCGATAAATCATCCCAGGTATTCCGATAAAAGATCCATGTACAGGGGGTAGCAAAAGTATTGTTTTGAAACCGACAGGAGTCGTGAAACGGATGAACCACTCATCGTCTGCGGAGGACGGGATTCGAAATTTTTCAAGAGTGATACACCACACGAACACAATGGGAGATGGGACGAAAGTCTCCCTGTTGGCGTATACGTTACAAGTACTCTTTGTTAACCTGATAAAAATAGTGCGAACGCGACCTGCTAGCATCCATTATATGGTTTCTAACAACGAGAATACCGGAAAGGGGAAGGGAAAAACAAAATGAAAATATCACCGCTGCACTTTAAAATTTTACTCGAGCTGGTGATGCAAAATAATATTACGTCCCGACCGTTTGCAGCCAATCGAGGACAATGCATCCTCCATACACCCGGATACTATAACGTTTCTCGAATTATTGGTACGTAACTTAATTCGGTTGAGTTGGGTAGGTAGGGTTCCATTATTGGACTAGTACCGTCATTAAGTGACTACTAAGACAGATTTTTTTTTCTGTTCTAGCTTTACTCATTTCGAAAGGGTGATTAATGAAAATACAAGAACGGGAATAATGTCTAGTTTGACGTTCATAAAAATGAACAGTTAATTTTATACAACTATGCGTATCTAGAGGAAATATTATGATGTAAACATAGTTTGGTAATACGAAGTGGGGGTGGGGAAAAAATAATAGTTTGAATTATGTTCAGGGCTTAAAAAATGTTATCTAAAATGTATGTTTATTTTAAATTTTTAATCGGTTTTAAATAAGATAGATGAGAGGAAATCTAGTTGGTGTGTATAAACAGTATCTGAATTATTATTGACTGCAGTAGATTCTTGAACTTTCATAGTTGTTGAAATTAACAATTAAATTCGTTTACGAAAAATCGATTTTGATGAAAAAGAAATACGATCATATAAATACGGGTCGCTTAAGCACGGTGTTCCCGTCATGGTTTTTGCACCCATCCGATGTACGTGGTTGTCAAAATGACCGATGGCACTTTGAAAGCCCGTTGTCGATTGTGGTTGATTTATTATTTATCGTGCTCCTAATCTGTTTCCATCCGAACGTAATGAAATCGAATGGACCGTGACACCAAATGATGAGCGTGCGGGGCGAAAAAAATGATCCGTTGACGGAAAACGTACAAAGAAACATTATACTATTTGGTAGCAGTAATTTTACACTGGAATCGCGTAAATGTAGACCGGTCTAGAGACTTCTGTAAATTTGGCGGATTGAAGTAAACGATTTATAAAAGAAAAAAAAAAAAGAAATAAATGATCATAAAAAATTCATTATGAACGGTTTTTTTTCGTAAGATTTTTAAAACATTTATTAAATTTATTACAAAATAGCACAGGTGTTATTTCGTCTTACGTTGTTTGTTAGAAATCCCATCTAATGAATGGAATGACCCACCTAAAACCTGAATTATCCCAAAAATAATTATAGAACTCTGTAAATAGTTATGTATATGTTATATGTTTTAGTTATGTAACATTTTTGTAAGTATAAATTGTTTAAGTTATAATACATTTTTTATCGGTACTTATTAATATTATTATGCTTTTACTGTGTTACTATAGGTTCAAACATTTTTTATGTGAAGCCACAAAAACTGCACACATCTATGTTGACCAACTCCGAAATGATACCAAACATTATTGTGGTAGGAAAAAACGAAAGTGCAATAAAACCTCTTTCTCCGTTGTTGAAATTCGTGAAGGGTTGCATCAAAGTGACCGTTTTTTTTTTTTTTTTTTTGTTACCTAACGTGTTTAGTATATTAGTCGGCAATAATTATGTTCAAGAAATCACGGCAATAGTAAAATTTTTAATATTATTTTACATTTTAAGGAAATTTTTCTTCGACGCATTCGAATACTGATAAGTATTATTTATCTAGGAATGTGTTCGATAATAAAATCTTGGGTATACCTCGCATATATTTAATTGTTAAATATTATGGAAATTATTTTTTTTTCTAGAAAAGGCCTTTGATTAGAGTCTAACCGTTATACGTGAAAATAGATAAATGTACTATGCTAGTGTTGTATTCGTAGAACAAACTATTAATAAGATAATAAATAATTAAATTAAAATTAAAAACTATTAAATGGTTAATATTTATCAATTTGTTTATAAATAAACAAACAAAAACTTAGCCTGGACTATTATTATATTTGTAGAGTACGCCTTTTTTTTTTTTTTTTTTTTGAGTCGATATTTTATTTTTTCATATTCAGTCACAATTTTGTTAACGTTATATATAATTTATGATAAATTTGTAATTCGAAACCAGTCACACTTTACATACATAATAATACCCCAGGCTAAGCTTATATTTGTTTATTTATTTATACACTGAGCAAACTATCATTACGTTAGGTTAGAAGTAATAGTTTTAAAAATAACCAACAAATTTGTTTAGTAAACAGCGTACGAAGATTTTCTATTCTCAGTTGCCTACAAATTAGTTGGACGATAATCGTCACCGCAGAAAATAAAAATCGTCGAGTTCTTTAGATAGGATTATCGAACAATAATACGATTACTGGAAAAATTAAAACGTTTTTGTATATAATGGCATTGTTTCTTGATCATTTGTTGTATTTATAGAGGTTTAAAATTTAAGATTTTAACATAAAAATATTGTCGTTTATAGGAAATCGAAAAATGTTTTTCTCACTGAGGAAATATTCGGACATTATTCCTATGCTAAATCCTAGGTGGTGTTTGCCATAAATTTTATCACGATATGTTAAAGTTTGCCAACATTATATCCGTGTTCATATTCTGTATGCTTGTTTAAATGGTTTAAGTATACAAAACACGGTGTTGATCGCTGCGGTTTCTATGTTTGAAAATTATTGCTGTCGCGGTTCATTCAGCAAACCCAATTGAAAATGTTTAAACGTTAATGTATTTGTTCATAAATTTGCCACTTGTGCAGGGGAATTTATCTTTTTAATTTACATTGCCTACCTAAATATTAACGTAACAGCGATTTACACGCCATATGAATGTTTTTAATTACAATAGCAACAATATGATTCAATCCATTTATAACATTGTAACTGTGTACTGAATGAACGTTTGTCGAGTTTGTGAATAATGATTATTTCCTGCAGTCGGATGATTGACGACGAAAGATTGTGTTTACTTTATATATATAGGTAGTTTATATTAGATATGAACTGCGAGGTTAACGAGCCGATAACAAGACCAATAAACTTAATTCAGCACTCCTTAATCAAATTTAATATTTTCAAATTAACATAACACATAAACAGTAACGAAAACTGAACAAATTTAAATAATAATACGTGATAAACACTGATCGCTGCATAGAATAAAAAATACGTAATAAGTATCAGAAAATAATGTAAACATTTTAAAAAGAAAAAAAATTAATAAAACATCAATTTTTTAAGATAATTACATGTTATCGTGATCTCAAAAATATCAGTAAGTATAATAATTTTTGAAAGTCAATGAAATTAATTGAAAATCTCGGCGGATCATTTAACTAGCGTAATTATTTTAGTTGATTTTCGTTGATGATCTACGATTTTTTTGTGATATAAATAAAAATTAATAATTACTATCGTATTGATCGTTATCGTAGTCGGGGTTACATTTTTTTTTCTTAAAATAATTATTACCAACTCGGTAATGCATAATATACGAATTTTTTCCAACACAATTAATCGCAAGATTTAGATGTATAATTTAATATTGTTTGAACCGATTTTAAAACATGACATCTTTAATAATGTTGGAAGTGATTCGTTAACGGTCGGTTGAGTTTGTAAAACGACTGAACGCGCAAATTTAGATTATTAGCCTCGAGTAATATCGATTAAGTGTACATAGCGATAAATTAGTTTTCACCTACCGGTTGCTAATAAAAAAAAAAAAAAAAAAAAAAAAAACAAAATATTATTATTTAAGAGAGATGTTTGTACACAATAATATGTGTGTTACGTACGTGTTCACGAACGGCAGACCGTATATTGTTGCCTTGAATTACAGGAGTACATTAATGATGTTATTTAATAATTATTATACATCACGATTCATAGTTATTCGATTACCGATAACGGAAATTTGTATTACTTACCTATTACGACCACTTCTACCGAAGCTTTAACTACGTGTTTATCGTTGCTCGCTTCGCAGTTATAGGTTCCTTGGTCGCCTTTCTTTTGCACGTTTTCGATGACAATCGAACCGTTAGCGAATACCTTGTGCCTCTTGTTCAGTGATTTTCCTCCGGGTAACCTCTTATTATCTGAGGGGGAAAAAAGCAAAAATTAAGAGCGCAGTATAACACAATAGCAGAAAGGGATGGGAGTACAATAATAACCAGTATCTTTGCGCACGGAGAGAGTGTACAGTTTATTCCTCATACATCCACACGTGTATACATGTGTTTATATATAGATATATATATAAATGTATTTATGCTCTTTTTGTACGTTATTTTTCTAAGCATTTCCTATTGTTCGTGACGCACTGGTAGAGTATTGTCACCGGAAAACAATACCATTAGAAAATAACAGAAGCAGAACAATGGAAAGGGTGAAATTAAAAAAAAAAGCAATAATCATGTACGTACATACACATACGTATCATTCCGAGTACTTAGGGGGAAAGCGTACAATGGCTTATCACTAAATTAATTTGGTTCGTGGCGGTGAACGAAGAACACAGGGACGGCGGCGGCGGGATAAAGAAAAAAAACATTTGTAATCTTCTCTTGACAATTTATCGAACATATATAAACATGAACGTGTGTCTGTATTTTAGGATTTTTTCCCTTTATAATACACCTACCTACTATATATGTGTACAGCAATAATAAGCAAACATGAGTCGGCAAGTATGTAAATCATAACATATTTAAATGACTATTTTTCCATAACGGCGATGGGCCAAAACCTTTGTGTACGTAAAAGAGTGATTATTCCAATGGAGTGCGATAAGGGTGTTCTGATGAACCTCTGGGCTGTAATTAGAAACCCGGTCTCACACAAAGTAAATGTCGAGTGGGAGCCTGATGTAACGCAACTCGCCCTCCGGGCACAACAATATGGACAATTTTCGTATAATGCTTACCCGTCATATGTAAACTACTTAATTACTTCAAGTGTTTTAGAATATCTCAATGTAAACCTGTACATTATTTATGAACATATAGTGCATAATATACCGGAGCACGGGATGATCATTCTCGTTTGAAACAAAACTACATTTTTATGTGTTTAAAATGAAAGTGCGCTAAATAGAACCCCCTTTCATTTATTGATCCACGGAAGCTTGTACCAGCATTTCGAAAATGAACATATGAACATAACGTGTTTAGAAACACCAGTGGTAATCGAATAAATGGAACGAAGACATTTGAGTCTATACGTTTTTTTTATGAATAATTCGGATAGAACTGTGAAAATAAAAGTTTAGTTTGTAACATAATACCAACTATATGTTGTTATGTTGAATAATCTAAAATAACAAGTCGATAAATTTACACGTTGTACAGTAGAAATTTGATGTTTTGAAGAACGATAAACGAAAAACTATTTTAATTATTTTGTGCGAAAGTATTAAGCGAAGAAAATTTTTTTTCTTGATTTTCAAGTTGTATTTTTAACTGTTGATTGTTTACTAATTTTGCATTATAAAATTGATTAAGAATTATTGATTAAGATTAAATGTCAAGAAAAATAGCTGAGCTAAAAAAAACCGATCCGGTTAGGAAACATCCTTATACAATTAAACGAGTCTTAAGTGAAAAAATTATATGTTAACTATTTATTTATATATTAACTGTTTTCATTATTATTAGATGACACAATATTATTGATTTTAAATCGAACCTTGAAAATATTTCTGCACCAAATCTAAAATGACAAAAAAAAAAAAAAAAAAAAAATTGAATATGAAGTATTTAATCACTGTAGGCCAGGCGTGCATAATCTTTAACAACTTGGGGATTACGTTCGAAATTTAAATTTATGCGGCATATTAGTTCATTTTGATAAAATATATAATAGTTGTATTACATTAAATTATTTTATTTTTGATCAGTTATCAAATTTATGACTTTTATTGAGTGTGTTTAAAGTATTGAATATTTGTGCATCATTTGTGTAGTATTTATCTAATATGTGAATTGTCCGTCTGAAGAGATAAATAATTTTCAGCAACTTTGTTTTTATGTATTTTAGTAAAAACTTAATACATCAAATTAGAAAAAAAAAACCGTTACCATTTTAATAAAATGGTTTTCTATCGTTCAGTGAATGACGTATTGTTTTTAAAATGTAACTGTGAGTCTTAAACTAAAATATTTTTCTAGTTCATTCCACAGTACGTATTCGTGGACTGCAAATATAATATTATAATAAACATACAAAAACTCTTAGCGTTTTCATGTGTACTTTTGTTATTATTATTATTATTTTTTTTTTTTTAAAAAACAATGTTGACATTTTTATTATATGCATTACAACAAAATATTTGATGGATTGTAAATTCCAGAAAAAATCATTTAAATAAAATTCGGTATCCGTGTCAAAAGTGAGATGAGTGGTTGAATGATAAACTGTGATTGATGACGGTGAAAAGAAAAAAAATGTTTTGAGTATATTTAAAAGTTGAAACCTTTTTGATGTTTTTAGTGGAAGGTTTAGTGCTTAATTCAAGAATAATGTATAATGACATTGAGTAGAATGTAGGGAAAAAACTACCATAATGACTCGTTAAAAATGGGGTTTGATAGCGGAAGGAAAAAGTTAAAAAAACACTTAACATTGTTGTAAAGACACTTCCATTGGATAGTGAATCGTAGTACAGTCCATCGGTAAAGGAAAATACCATATAGTTGAATAATTATTGGATAAACTTACAATTTCAAGAAGCACGGATTGGTTAAGCGTTCTGACCTGCTTACAAAGTTTACGCTTAACGGTTGATTGATTTATTCGTATTATTAAATTAAGGTGATTGTATGTATAAATATATGTATATTGTATATGGCAGTAGTAGATAAAACTCTCGATCGGATCGAGATCGAGAAATGTAACGTCTAACCGTCCGCGTGCACGTGAATCGTAATGACGTGGTATAGTGTAGTGATTATATTCCTACGAAAACTCTGAACGTCGTCTAAGGCTACGGTTACTATGTATACGAGTTCTGACGAATAATTATTCTGACGAATTTGTGGTCAGAACAAAGCGGTTACACTGTGCGCGGTTTTTGACATTCTGGTGGTCAGTATGTTTCTGCCACCCAGCAAAGATGGACGAACTTGATAAATTGTATTTTCTTGAAAGTCCGTTATTGAAATTATTGTTGTTAAATGGTGGAAAAACAGAGCATGTCAACGAGTTATTTTCTAGAAGAGACGACAAAGGAGAGTTTGAAATGTTATTTCAAGAATTGTGGGATCAACCGGAAAAGTTTTTCGAGTATTTCAGGATGAAACCAGAAACATTTAAATACATACTGGAGAAAATAGAAGAAAGTATTACAAAGTTCACTCATGTCCCACAAACACCTATTCTCATACACGAGACTGATTAATTTATCGGGATCCATGGTTCAAATAAATAAATAAATTGTAACAATTATATAATAATCAAATCTCGTCAAAACATTCACATTTCGGACGAAAAAATCAAATTTGTTTGAACGCTCAACTGTTTCTGACGACGTCGTGTATGTTGTGACGTACTCAACGCTACCGGTGTAAACGATCTCATTGAAAAACAGGCGTTTGTTTGTTTTGACGATACGTCAGAACTCGTCAGAACAATTATTCGTCAGAACTCGCATACATAGTAACCGTAGCCTAAAGCTCGTCCGCGGTGTAATCGAATTCATACTTGGCCGCATCGACGGACGAAACGGTTTTCTCAGGATCGTGATGCGCAAACACCAATAAATGTACTTATAAACATAAACATATAAAAGTGTATACTTTGATCCAACCAGGACTAAACCGAAGGCTGAATTATACTTGTAGTCCGATAGAGAATGATTTATCGATGTTAGCATACGATAATTATCTGGACAAGTAAAATATGTATTTGAGATACGTGTTTAGATACCTTGTAACTATCTGTCTAGATAAGGTAAAATACAAACAACTAAATGGTTTATCTAGATGAATTTCTCTAGATAAGTTCGAACACCGGGTACACTTCATATTGGTTGTAGAATACATTTAACGTAAACACGGAGCACGAATACCTTTCTCCCAGTTGATGTTGAAAATCGGATAACCGGATATCGGACAGGTCATCAGCAACTGTTGACCCGCACGTGCCACGATTTTCGGAGTTTTCTTTGCCACCGGATCGCCTGAAACACGAATGATAAATTTAATAAATGCATTAATGTATAATATGGAATCGTGCAACTATTGTAATACACGAAGCAATAATATTGAATTTTCGACTATTATCTGGACGTAGTAGTCATAGGTTAGGTATTATGAAATGTTAATTTTATCGAAACTAAGTATGTTTTACCCGTGATTATACAGTAAGCTTTAACATTATATATTTAACCCGTTGTTGGTACTCACGCTCACACAGATAATATTTTGAGTGTAATTCGTAGAAATATTATTGAATTAATCCGATACTATTAATACCTTTAAATAATATGTCTATAAATATTTACAAAAATAAATGATAGCACTAATTTTCATACTCGATTAGTTATTGATCGACAAAATCGAAAGTACCGATTGAGTGAGCGTCACGCTAACACAATACTACGAGTACTTTACGCTTTCACACCACGAGCATATGCGTATCCTGCTATAACAATGAAAACCAAGCAAACATTTCAGACGGTAAATATACCTAAGATGATCAATTCAACAATCACTGCATTTCTTTTTATATTCAGTTTTATATAATTTATATTACTTTGTAAATAAATAAAAAATTAAAATAAATTTTAAATTTTTTTAATTTTAATTCATTATCTATAAATATAACATAAAATTACTAAGTACTTTTTAGTAAAGGATAAAAAAAATACATATTTTTATGCACGATTTTATTTTATTAATTGATCACGCAATTAATAATACTATAAAGAGCGAAATGTGAACGCAACGCTCACAGTGTACCAACCGTGTTACGAATTGCATATGTACTGATGACGGGTCAAAAGCTACGAGCTTCCTAAAGCCAATTATTTATTTTAAAACTTTACAAAAAAACCGTTCGAAAACTATTGCTAATCGTCAGCAAAGGAAATCGTTACAACTGAGTGTTGTTAAATTTTTGGCATTTTGTGAGTTTTAGATTTTCATTCGATAGAAGCGAAACACTAAAATCGCGTCTGACTTATCAATTTTAATATTTTTGAAAAACTGGTTTCTTTCGTAAGAATAAGGGGAGTATAAGATATATTTCCGCTGTAATATTTTAAATACTTCCTTAATTATTACGAAAAACCAATGCAATACACAAAAAATCTGGTTTTTGTTATTTGAAAAATTAAAACTACTATGTGACGATATAAATGATATTAAAATGAACATTCAAATACTTAGTAATTTCATGAGAATCGTAATATAATGGAGACTTTTATTTAGTTCACTTAGTACCGAGTTTTACAATGATATGTGTACTTATATATTTTAAAAAATGTGTGTCTAATCGAAAAACACATATCTGTATATTATCATGTTTTTTACACGGTTTCATAATCCAGCTGTATGTGAATCTTCCGTAATCCATTAAATTAGAGACGGGGCGTAGTGTTTACGTTACATTCAAGGCCGGTGATTAATTTAATTTATATCCACCCCATTACATTAATTAATACCACAATTAAGATATTATAGTTTATAGTTTATATAAACATATACGTTTGACCATTAAATAGGCCCGTAAACAATAATATATACTATAATATTACGTGTTATACACGATGAACATAATATCATGAATACAACATGAGAAAATCTTATACATGGAACAAAATCCGCAGTAGGAAGTGAAAAAATGAAATGAAAATTTTGAAGCGAAATCTTTTTCAACCTTTTTCATATTCAAGAATCATTTCCAGCAAAATATTCACATCGTAATCACTGTTATTTGGTACGCGCTTATTGTTTAGTATTTAAACTTTGTAGCTTAACGCTCGAATATACTCGACGTGCGAAACATTTTGAGCCTAAGTACCGGAGTTCACTGGGTACGTCGATTGTAAGGATTATTATTACCGTTATTAAAATACAATATATTATGCTTACTCGGGCGTCCATTTATACCACCGCTATGAGATTTACGCGGAAATTCGCGCTCATACGTAACGGATGTAAATACGTGCGCCGTGAGGATGCATTCAGTTATACAAAACTACCGAAACGAATATTGGCATCGTTATACTATTATATGTGTTTGAGGAAACTTTTACTGGAAACCGCAAACGGATGTATATATTGTCACGATGAAAAATTGTTCTTCTGCGATTTTTTTATAACTCGTAAAAATCTATGATCAAGTGTGAAATTAAAGTTCGTGACTTTTTCCGGTCGAATAATTAAACGTCTGTCAGATGTATAATGCGATGTTAGCATAGGCGGATATGAGGGGGGCTTGGGGGCTTAGACCACCCAAATTGTTAAAAGCCCCCCCCCCCAAAATCGAAACTTTGTTAGAAATTTATTTCGTTGTTTTTATAATTTATTTATAATTATCTGTTCATTTTTTTTGAAAATCGTAAAATAAAAAATAATAAAAAAACTATTTACAATAGCATTAACAATACCAATTACATAGTTTGGCTACTTGCGAAAAAAGATTCAGTGCAATGAAAAAAATAAAAACTTGGTTAAGGATATTGTTGGTTTAAGATAGGTTCAGCAATCTTTCAATACTATATATTGAAAAAGATATATCGAAAAATATATGGTAAAAAGTGATGATATTTTGAGTATCTTTGCTAATACAAATAGTTATTTGTCATTAAAATAAAATATTAATTATTTTTAAATTTATGTTATTTAGTGTTTTTTTAATACAATTTAAATAAATCTATATTTTTAATGATAATAAGTTTTACTTGTGTATGGGAAGGGGGTGTGGGGGCGAAGCCCCTGTGAGTTATTTTACATTGAATTATTATAGCCTCCCCGAAAATTCAACCAAATGTCCGCTTATGGATGTTAGTTATCTACTCGGACAGGATACGGGTTTATTGTCACTTCGAGCTGATTGTGTGGCTTACACAATCATTTTGCAATTTATCTATTCCATAACTATTCGTGCATGCGCTGCGAACGTGCTTACGAAAGTTAACTGCAATGGGTTTTCGGTAAATATACGTTTTGCTGTTGTGATACTAAAAAAAAAAAACATATGTTTACTTAGTACAGTATTCGTACTTCACCTTTGTGTCACGTCTTAATATTTTATATTGCATAGAATTATACGAATTGTACATATCGATGATTTTATATTATACGAACAAATTAAGAAAACACTTTGGTAATGTTTATTAACTTTTTAACTCGCAGACTTAATTCATTGGCAAAGTGAACGGTTTTTTTTATTCTTTAATTTATTTTCGAAAGTTGAAAAAGAAATTTTAAAATATAATCTCTTAATATCACTCGATCGAAAAATACATTATCCTTCGTCCGCAAAATCAATCGATTTGGTGTACAACATCCGGCACTCACAATATCAGATTTTTTTAACATTCTTTTTTGCCAACACCTATATTAATATAACAACGCTTAAGTACAACATCAAAAAACATTACGTCTGTGTTCACGGCCATCGTTCAGCGAATGGAAAATAACCACGTGTAAATTGTCGTTTCATTGGGGTTTTGCGGTCGTGTTGATTATTCTCTTTCCCTTTCTCTCTCTCTTTCTGTATATAAATAAATAAATATATATATATATATATATATATACATATAGTTAACACGGAGGATTGGCAAGAACTCTTTGCTGGTAGGATTCCGTTTGGTGGTTCAAGAAAAACCTCAAAGGGTCATCTGGGTCACGCGGGGCTGTGAAGGGTTTGTTATAACCAGGTGCTCCACAATCACTCGCTTTCGAAAACCCGAAAACAATATACAATGTACGAACCACTCGACACGGATACGAGTCCTAAAAAAATATCGAACTTTGCCATACGCACCCGCCCATTCGAAGTAGGTACGGTATATATCGTGTCAAGTGCACAATGTTGAGCGTCGCATGAAGAACGATATCTTTCAAAAATATTTGCGCTTGCGGTTCTCTCGTAACGTCCGACTCCAAGAGGTCCACCCGAGCTGATTTGGTTTTATTATATTTGGGACGTGTAATGCTGTCGAAACACGATAAGTAAAAAATTCTGTATTTGTAGCCCACCGATATTTACGTATATATCGTATGTATTTATAAATTTACCAAGGCAAAGAAATTTGCTTCTACTATTATTGTTTGTTGTTAACAAAAATTACGAAAATCGTCATTTTAATTCGTCGATATTTCATAAAACATATCGATACAATATTTAAAATTAAAACCCTTTTTTCTGTTACAGAATGAAATGTATGGAATATTATCGTAATAGGAAAGAAAAAAGTAAATATGTGTATTTTTAAACGGTTGAATACATTTTTGCGAATAATATAATAACGTATAACATTCGTCTATTATACGTAGTACGATTGCTGTATGAATCATGTAAATCCAAACGCAAAATGTATTTGAAATATCGAAGTCTCGATCAACGTGATACAGTTAACTCTTGGTGCAATCTAACTTAAATATTATTATTAGGCCATTTTTTAAAAGAGAACTGAAAATACCGATGACGTCATATGGTTTTATTACACACGCGACATGGATACGAATAAATTCTTTTTTTTTTATTATAACAATTTCTTTATGTCATCAAAACAGTATGATTTATATTCATCATATCATACGTATGTTACACGGGAAATACGCATTTTTTTTACGTTCAGAACAGGACGCTTGAATAATCTATGCAAACAAAATATGCACACATACCGCAGCCGGCCGAGCAAAACGGATCACAGTATAAGAGAATATTTTGCGTGCGAATGACAACCCGTTAATATATGTTTGTACCGAACGACACATTTACGTTTATTCGAATACCACGACGTAGTGCATTACGTCTGGAAAAGTACATTTATGTGCGTGTCGTCGCCGAACCCGATGCACCGGTGTATGGTTGTAGTTCAAATGTATGTACTCGAAACGCGTTTTATGCGGTATGCAAAAGGTTTTATATAAGCCATTCACGCGGACGTGACGAGTGCACGACAGCAAATGTATCCGCTGACAAATACAATAAATATAATATCGTTTGAAGTATCTCCGAATCCAAATATTGTTATATTCGTTTGACGGACATCATGTAATCAACTGTTTTGTACGTAAATCGGAGGCATACAGACGCTCGAAGATATCAAACCTTTTCCGTGGTAATTTCCCGCAGAATATTACGTACGTGCATTTTCCGTCGAAGATATTTTTGTCGTTATTTGTTTTGGATCGGAAACGGCTACTGCGCAGAAACAAGATTACTTCAGAACAGGTAGTACGTCTAATCGAAAAATACGAATCGATGCTCATTCGAATGTTGTTCAATACAAAAGATTCGACTGCCGCGTTAGATTTGAAATAAATACCGTAGGCACAGTGCGTGTTTGTCCATCAATATTCATTCCGAAAACAACTGGCCGACAAGAACCATTGGTACCGATCGAGACCACGAAAATAACCTTTTACGCCAGTTTGTCTCTTGAGTTCATTGAACGTCGGTCTAAATTGTGAAAATAGAATCACGAAAAATACACAGTGAAAAAATAATCACGAAATGCAAGTAATGTAGTGCTTTTGGATTAGCTATAGATTAAAAAGTTTAGACATATTTGATCTCAATTCTATAAATGTTGCCATTATTTTTATTAATCAAGGGAATTCCGTAATATTTTCAACATTACAATATGATGTTATTGGTTTTTATACCTCAATAGTTATTAAATAATTATCAAAAGTTTTTATTTACAATACTAAAAAATCGAAATGTAACTAATATAATTTCCGTTATTGTTTCATTAGAGTGTTATAATAAAAATTATCCATGACCGTTTCGAACGAATATAATACACATATTATCATGGGTATTATAAATGGGTCGATTGAAATAGATTCTTATTATTATTTTCTGCTATGAAACCGTTGTACCGATACGAAAACCATTGATTTAATTTTAAATTTCTAAAATATTGGATATAACAAGAGCACAGTAAATATATTCCATAGCACCCTATCGAAAAATAATGTACAACGTTCTTATTCACATAAATTTATTTTGATCGACGGCGTACTTTTGATTGTTAATATTCAAAACCGTCGCAAAAAATCAACCTAGTTGAACTTTTATCATACCGAAGACGGGTGTACAGTTGACGGCAAATTGTTTAATTTTTTTAAAGATCCTTGAAGATTTCCCAATAACGGTACAGGTATCGTTCTTCCAATATGATGATTAATCGCCTTTTATAACTTCATATCAATAATTCATCCATAACAAATCCGTTGACCTCATGACGCTAGAAAAATTTCTACAACCCTTTAATGTAGTGCGTTTGATAACCAAAGAGCCATTACACAGTATTTTTTAAACGATCGGTTTTTTTTCGATTACACAAGATGGTTATTAATAATACGTAGAGTACGTAATAATAATATGAGTAGAGCACGGATTTTAAAGCAATAAAAAAACTAAAGAAAAACACACAAAAAAAAGATTTATAACAGATTTATAAATCTTCCAAATAAGCTTAAAAAAAGCATTAAAAATATGTTTTAAAAAATAAATAAATAAATCATTTTCAGCATTTTGTAAATGACTATGGCATATGGTGTTAAAATGAAAACTAAAATGTAATTCTGAGTAGATAATTTCCAGAGTAAGAGCATATTTTTGTGTTTATTGTCGTTTTAAGATAAATTAATCTACTTTAAATCATACGGTATATGACCAACTGAACACACGGGGAAAGGTTGTCAAAAAAATGTTTGAACACAATTTGGAACACATCATATTATATAAAAATAAATAAATAAAAAACATTTCAAATATTTTTATTTAAAACACGTTTTGAAAAAAAATTTACTTAAAAGCAGAAATACGTACCCAAAATACCCCCCCCCCCAAAAAAAAAAAGCATTTATATACAAAAAATGCAAAAAGAGTGAAAAAAAAAGCAAAATAAAATGTCGTGCATTTTATTCTAAGTAGTATGAATCGAATTTGTTGCTGACATAGCTTCGTTTTAGAGTAATAGTAGAAAATACCAAATGCCTTCAATATCCGTGCTCTACTAAAATACTATTAAAATAATATACATTGAATATATTTTATAATTTAAAATAATCACATGTCGATAATAGTTATTTATAATAATTAAATAATTAAATAATTTAATAATTTATATTAATTTATAAATTGAAATATTTTTTTTTTATTTGTAACTGTGTCCACGATTTTGACCCAAAAGTATTGCTCCAATCGTTACAAGATATTTCTGATAAATAATTACATTTAGTTGAACATTTGAAGATCGCAATTTAAGATGTATTTTTTTTTGTAAAAGTTAGAACATTATTTCTATTACAACGAGTATCTTTAGAAAAACTCATATAAACTGATACACTCGATCTCTTTCACTCAGGATCATTTTTTCAAGAGTGATAGGACATTGGTTTCAAGTCTAAAATACCAGCACAATAATTCTATTCACCTATACTATCACTCGAACGGGATAATTCAACATTTTTTTCAAGCCGATAATCTCTAACAAATAAATACATGTGATAAGAATAATTCGCTATTGTTGTTTTCGTCGTTAAAATATTTAGCGATTGTAATTTTCTCGCGATTTTGATTTTTGCGATTAATTGTTTGTAATTTTCCCATGAGTTAAAGCACTTGTCAACGAAATCCCGTTTTTTTCGAAATTTAATTACTTAATACGCTACAACCGTCGTGGTGAATGTCTGTTATATGTTCACCCATTATGTTATTATAAATACCACGTACCGTAAACTTGTAACTTCGCCGAATGCGATACTTGACCTGCCCGATTGGAAACAATACACTCGTACAGACCACCGTCTTCCACTTGCACTTTGGTGATGTTGAAATGACTGACTACATCTCCGATCTCCGTCACATACTGACCAATCGACATCCGCCTGTCGAGTAAATATATTGCAATTGAATAACCATAGGTAAATATTTTAATATTATAAACGATGGCATGTGAAATTTTTTTCATACGAAATAAGACCGTAAAGCAATTACTTTCAGATCTGAAAATAATCTTGTTCAAATTTCATTTTTGCGAATGCACAAGGTCAATTGAAAAATAAAAATAAAATTTTACTTTAAATATTATGGTCTGATGTTTCAACTTTTTATGTAACATACACACCGAATATGCAAGTATAATACGATTTCGGATTGGATTTCACAGTCGTTTAGGTATTTCAATTTGCTTGTAAATAACTTAACGTTTTTTTAATACGGATTTTTCTAATTTTTAACGTTTAAGAGAGTCAAAATTATCCGTCGAACGCACAAAGAGAAAAATGTTAATTTAGTTAAAAAAAAAAAAAAAAAAAACATTTGACCAGATGTTATAATATATGACTCGGTTAACATTGGCATTGCGACGTTTGAGTTTAATCTTAATGCTTACATAAAGCGCGTTAACAAGAACAAGAGCATTCTTTTTAACGAACTCGCTTGGACGTTCAATTGAATACCATACATTATTGTACAGGGTGCATGAACGTAAACAAAAACATAAACGAGGCATCGTGAAATTGTATTCTTTTTTTTTTTTTTAAATTTTTTTTCTTAACGCGAGTTGCGGAATATTACACGATCAATCACTCGGTGCGTCACGGCCCACGGAAACGTATGTCGATTGATAGAAGTAGACGATATTTATCATGTCCGTTCGACAGACAAAGAGAATTGGGGGGGAGGAGGCGTACTTACATCTGTGAGAGAGGCACATCGTTACCGTCAAACTTCCAGGTGATGTGTGGTGTCGGTGTGCCGAACGCGATGCACTTTAGCGAGACGTCAGGTCCCGGCTTCAACAAATGGCCGATAAACTTGTACTTGAAGGTGGGCTTGGATGCTGTAAAACAAAAAAAACGTTTAATAATAAAAAATATCGTGCCCGGTCTGTTACGCGCGAATCGGAAATGAACGCACCGTGGACGATGAACGATCGCGGATAATAGATTTGGCGTCGAAATAACAACATAAACCATCATGCGTTGGTAGAAAAACTACACTTATCTTCTGCAGCTAGTTTGCTTATCGTCCACGAGAGAGTAAAAATATTCGTCTATAATCTCTACAAGTGTTGACAATGACTGGTTTTTACGACTTTTGCCGATTCTATAGGAATGATTACGACGTGCGTGATACCCGGGTAGAGTCTACCCGATCGCGATCATTCATAAAATAATTTTTTTTTTTTTTTTTTTTGCGATTAGATAAGAAATACCGAATATAAAATCGATTTTCAACATGATGCTAGAAATTCACCAATATGTTTCCATGTTTTTTAAACGAATTGAAAACAAACCTTAGCCTCAGAGCACAACAAGTCCATTAAAAATATTATTTATACTACGGTTCGGTATAAAAGACATAAAATAATAAATTGTAGAATAACACGAAAGCGCCATCAGATGAAAATATCTGAAGAATTCCGATACAGAATAAATGTGACATTTTTTAATAGTTCTTCATCGTATTATTCACTGTAGAATGTAATTGATATTAATAAATTAATAGAAACGTACCTTGCTGTTTTTAATTTCTAAATAGTATAATTTTTCTAGTTAATATTAAGTCATGATGAATACACAAGTTCGAGTGGCATGTTATACATAATTCGATACTTATACAATTCCACTTTACTCTTCATCAAACTGTCAAAAGAAATTTCTCAAAAGTCTAAGCGCTCAAGTATTTTATTTTGTTTGATAAAGATTTACGGGTCATTATATAGAATTGTCTTGAAATCCTTTTATTTAGTTTGAGTCTTGTCGTCAACGTGAAACGGTTCGGAAACGGAGAAATAAACGGACCGATTTTGACTGAACTGTTCGGGCTAACCGAAAATCCTACAAAGCAATTCTTAATTTATTTATTTATTATTTTTTTTTTAATTTCAGAAATTTTGTCTCACAGCTGTTTTCTATTCTTTAGTGATATTTGGCGGACTTATGCGTTTTTATAAAATTGAGTTTTGAAACAACCTATAGTCTCGGGTATTTGGAATTGTAATTTATATAAATAATAAACCAGTTGTATTAAATTATTACCACTGAAGTTCGTTTGAATAACAAGAAAAATATCCATTGAATATCAAACGTTCAATTCGTTTGCAACCAATTAACGCAGCAACTCTATATAAATTATCAGGGTTTTAACAGTATATGCTCACAATATGTTTCCAAGAAATCAATTACTAATGAGAGACAAATTAATTGTTACACATTATTTTCGTGCCATTCGAGTCGATAAATTTAATTTCACTCACCCTACTGTTTAGGCTGTTGAGAGTATTTAATCGGTGATAAATGACAGAGATGGTTATGTTAATTTCAAATTAGTTAACTAGAGAGTTTTCAAGGCACAAAAAACACTTTCTACGTGGTTTGAGTGGATTGCTCAATGAATATTATTTGTAACTCACATGTTGAAATAATTGCGATGCTTTCTTTTTAAAATCACAGTTAACAAAATAGGAACTTAAATTTCATTTATTTAAGCACTTTTTCTGATTATTTTATTTACCAATACAATGCTTAGAAATATATAAAAATGTATCAAACTCAACGTTTACGCCAGTTGTTAGTGATAATGCCAAATTTTAACCGATTTAAAAAAATTACCAATCTTATGATTTTTATTATATTATTAGATAAAACATGGACTATGGCACTCAAATATCAAATTTTCATTCTACAAACTATTATTATCTGTTCTTTTCAAAATACACAATAAACTCTTGCCAAACTAAGTTTATAGCAATTTTTTTTATTTTTAGATTTTTCATGAATATTGAAAAACTACTATTATAAAATCAAAAAGCAAAGGAAAGAAAGGATTTCTCTTGTCAATTCACTCAGCATCTATATAACGTCTTTGTGTTGTAGAATAATTGAAAAATGACATCATAATCACATATTTCAGGAAAAATTGTGAAGATGTAAGTATAAAATTTTCTTTTCTAATACATATATCAATCATAATGGAACAAACAGTTTATTAGACGGCTACTCTAAAAATCTTTTACACAAACTTTTACTTATTTAATCATATTCTGTTAATGTTAATGTTTCTTATGTTACAATCTACAAAAATAAATATATTCATTATTGTTTTTCCCTAGACATTTAAAAATAGCAAACCATATCATGGATCACGTAGATTATTCTGCATATCACGTATTATTTTTATGAAAAATTATTATTAAGCTTTAAATTCAGTTGTAAATTAATCTACAATTATAATTATAAAATAATTAAGTGTTAATAGTGTAGAATAACACTTAAAACTTAACTATTTTATTATTAATATTTAATAATTTAATTTTTGACCCGATGTTTTGTTCTGTCATATTTTTGTTATAATAATAATAATAATAATAATAATTATTATTATTATTATATAAATATCGTGTTTTTATTATAATTTTTTTTTTTTATTATATTTTTAAAGTTTTGTCAAAATTGTAATATAATAATCCACTGCATACCCAAAGTATCACTCACATATGTTGTTGTTCACAAAAAGGTTTTCATCAGCTTATAATATTTTAAAAGTTTATAAATATAGTTTTAAACTATCTGAAGGACAACAGTGAAAAATACATTCCTCGATACGGTTCGAATCCAAAAGTATGATTTATCTTTTTTTCGATCGAAAAATGAATATTTGTCTGCAGGATAACTATTATTTTTAGATTCCTTACTGTTTGGTAATAAAATATTTCAAACTACTGTTTCCTGAGTTGTAAATTACAATTTGTATTACATTACTATTGTCAAGTATATTTTTGATATCGGATTATTTACTATTTTTACTTTTAAAACGAAAATTGAGTATGTATTGTAATGTCTTCAACATAGTTATGTACCACGTTTGCCTGTATGCAACGCCGTGTTCAGTATCATGAATTATTCGATATAATATTACATGATAATAATGTAACACATTTGGTATCTAATAAAATATAACTAACAAATAACAATTTATATACATAAATATAACATATATCATATATAGCTTATATTTATTGGTTTGGCTCAGAAATTGTAGGAGCTAAAATTGGTGAAAAATGCACGAAATAATTGCAAAACATGCATTAAGAATGTTAAATACGCGAAAAAAAAAATATTCTGAAAAAAAAAATTCACCCGATGTAGTTAATAAATTAATAATATACTCAAAAACTATTCAGAACTAAAAAAAAATATATAGAACTAGTTGGAATTTTGACATATTGACTATTGAACTTAATATATAATTAAAACCATTTGTTCACTATTTTTAACGTTGAATATAAAAACAATAAAAAAATTTTAATACCTGTTGTTATTAAATTGAACCACCAATACTTTCTTAAGATGTTAAATTACAAATGAATTATTAACAATATAATGGATTGTTGTATGTGGCCATACGATTACTTTTTATAATCGGGTCAATGTAATTTTAACAATGCATTCGTGTAAATGTCGTCCGCATGAATACGTACCCCGTGACACCGGATCCCTCTTAATTAACTTATAGTTGGTATAATCTAAAGCGAATACTACTTTGTTACAAATACTAACGAACGATTTACGAATTGAATTGACTTGCCCGTATTCTACTGGAGTTCAGAATGTGACCTTCGTCCATCAACGGACGTATTTATTGTGATATTTGGAATGGAATATTCTACGGATATACTGAATGATAAATTTCTTTTTTTTGTAATTTAATTTTGTAAAATGTATTCAAATAAAAGAAAATTTGTACTTTTTCTTAATTTTCAACGAAAAACAATCAAAAAACAAACACTTTTGCTATAAAACAATACTTCTTTTAGATCTACTCGTTTTGTACAACCATATGGCTTACACATTTGTATATTCTTTTTATTCTAAATAAATATAAGAATATAACAAGAAGGAACATGATAAAATGGGTTCTGTTTAACCTAAATCAAGAAAACAAGACGAATTTAAAACCGAAAGTTACTGCTTAAAATGCAGCATGAATTTGATGGATACCGTAAAACTATATATAACAACACATGTAAATATTGACGCAATATATATTCGATAATATCGGTTTACTATTGATTATAATTCGTTCTATGTACATTTTATACTAAGAAATATTATTATTTTATTATTATTAAAATAAAAAAATCACTTCGATGATGAGTTATACAATACATATATTATGACTGCATAAATTATAAATTATCATTGATCTAACAAACATTTATTATAGTTTATCGTGGCTTACGAGTGGAATTAATCTTATCGGAGATTTTCTATATAGATCGCTGTAAAAACATTTTGAGAAATATTGTTGAGAGCGAGTTCAGATTTTTTGATTTTTGTCACAAGTTACAGGGGATATAAAAACCGTAAAACCTCGGTGTATCGATTCTGCTCCAAACCTCACTTAGTGCGAGACAAAAGAAGACGGATTCAGATACCGCACCCCTGATCCAACGTAGTGCAGAAACTAACCTTTTTTCACTTAATGCTCCTTTTATATTTCAAAAAATGTCTCACCGCTACCCAGTGCATTATTTTTATGTTTTAAATTAATAGATAATTTTTATAACGAGCAATTTAGTTAAGAAAAATAATAATAATATCGACAAGTAACTTTGATTATTTTCAAAGCGGAGGGTAAAGAGTTATTTGATCCACAAACATAATAATGTAAATGCCAGAAAAAATACCAGCTACACCATTTATAATCTCCTTAAGTTATACACCCTTGAGAAAATTAAAAAATTTTCCGAGGAGTGGCAGTGTTCAGGGTGGAAATTATTTAAAAAAAAGTGCGAATTCCTATATTATCCCTATGTTATTCTTGTAGAATGGTGAG